AAAAAAAAAAAAAAACACATCATAGTAAAATAATACCTTCTCAGCTTCGCATCGAAACTAAAAATTTATTTTGACCAAAACGGATCATGGGGTTTTTTTATAATCACTGATTCGACCTAATGATAGTATGCAATGACTACTAGATACATAGGTTAGAGGCTGTGTACTTATATTTTTTAGATTTATTCGTGATGATAAAAAAAAAACTTAGGTTAAATTATACCCAAATTATAAGAGATGATTACAGCTACTTCAATATAGCTTTATGGTTTTATTTATTATGGTTTCAATAACTTCAATAATAAAATTTATAATCTTTTTTCGTAATTATGAGAAAAACTATCATAAGTAATAATATATTTCAATATAACTTTTTTGGAGATGAGGAATAATGTATTTTATATAAATAATAATGTAGGTATATGATATATGGGTATTATATTTAGAAATTCATAATTGCAGATTTGCATTGAGTAACTGCACCTGTCATTGGTATTTTGCCAGTCTTTTTAAGGTTTTGATAAGTAGTCTTTTGTTTCTTCAATAAGTCTCATATTTGATTAAAAAATATTATTTAAAACTTATGCCAACTACAGGTTCTGCTCCCCTATATTAATCACTAGAGATAACACACTACTCAAAATATAAAAACACTGACGTTTTTTTTTTTTTTTAATGTATTTTAATTACCACATTCATTTGCATTAATCCAAAGTCATCCTAAGTAAAAATAAACATTATATATTGTTTATGGTTACTTCCTCTATGAAATTTAGTTTAATTCTGTGTTTATTATATGAATTATAATGTATAATATATTTTAAATGTTTAAGCTTTGAAAATATTTGCAACAACCGTTTTACTACCTTATGGTACGTTAATAACTATTATTCAAACATTCCGAACAAATTAATTTTTAAATCATGGTGTTTAAAATATTGATTGTTATTATTTTAAAACAATATCAAACAATGTGAATATTAGTAAATTTACTAAGAAAGTGCGCATCATTATATTTACAGAAGACGATGATCTATGTTGTGTTTGTCTTGATAGAATTACGTCAATCATAAATGTACCATGTGGTCACAAAGTTTGCGATATATGTGCAATTCAATTAAGAATAAATAAAGCAAATAAAACAAATAAATCAAACAATTTTCCTCTTTGTGTAACTTGTAGAGCTGAAGTTAAAGGATATACTAGGCAAAGTTTGTATTTATATGATTATATATTTTCATCAAATTTTAAAAAAGAAAGTTACGTTAAAATACATTTATGAACAAATAATGAAACTAAAAAAATTAAATTAAATAAAATCGGAAAAAAAGTAATACGATTTTTCTTCTGGAAAAATTAAGATCACATATCAATATGACTCCTTCTGTTTAAGTATATATATATACTATGTATAATATACATTATATAAAAAATATTGCTTTAATGAATTTATATTTTTTATTTATTAAATAGATAAACTTCATTTAAACGATTTATTTCCTTATGGTGAGTGAACTTATGGTGACAATAATTTTATTATATTATATACATTATTACTATATTATATTATATATATATATATCACCCATATTAACATATTACTATTAATTTAGTGAAAGACGGTGAATGTAAAATTTGTTTGAAAAAAAGAAGAGTATCATTAAAAAGTAATGTTTGTGGACATGAATTATGTTCTTACTGTGCTCGGGACATACAATTAAAAAATAAAAAAAATGAAAAAAATGAAAAACTATACTGCAAATTTTGTGGAAATGACGTTGACAATTTCAAAAGTTTGTTATTACATAATGTTATTTAAAAAATAGTAATACTGGTGGATGTTTAATTTACCACAAAATTTTGTGGTCAACTTTGAACAGTAATTTTTCTATACTAATGTTGTTAATGTTATCAAACGTAATATGTGATAATAATTAACCTTAAATCAAAATTATCCAATTTTGCAGTAAATATTTCACATTAACTAACAATACATGACTGACTGATTATTATCGCCATTTTTTTTTAGAACTTTCTCTTAACGATTTGAAAATATTTAATGGTAAGTTATTTAGTATACTTATTTTAATGATTAAATTTGTTTTTTTTTGTTCGAGTTCTCATACTAGGTAATTAATAATTTATATTAAGAAAATCTAATTAAAATTTAAATCAAGAATATAAAATATTTAGTTATTATTGTAATAACAAGAATCATTTGTAACAAGGGTAGATTTTTGGTAGAACTTAATTTTTTTTAACTTAATTCATTTTTTTGTGATTTTTCTGATAAAAGTCAAAATAGATTCTGAATTATATGAAGATATACAGTATGATTTATTAAGAATACTACCACCCATTTTTTCATCAAATGTTTTTTTTAATAAAAATTTACAAAATAAAATTTTATTAATTTTATAAAATATGGTAAATACTAAGTTTATTTTAAGAAATATCTAAGGGTAGATTTTTTATGTAATTTTGAAAATTTATGAGAACATCTTATTGTTTTTTTTTCTATTAAAAAAAGAATAGTCATAAATATGTTCACTGGTCAAAAACCAGTTTTATAACATTACTTTTTAAGTAAATGTAATTTTATATACTCATCTATCTCGTGTATAACTAAAATTTATAATAACTCAAAATGCATTAATACTAAATTGGTTATCGACTAATCAACATTTTATTTTATTTTTTCCAAAGTAAAAAATTTATAAAATCTAAAAATCTACCCTTAGAAATCATTTTTATTGTAATAAACTTTATATTTATTCTAGGTTTATAAATATAAATAAAATTTTAATGTGTTCATTTTTCAGAAAATATCAATATTTAACTAAAAAATAAGAAGTAGTTTTCTTTTAAATAACGCCGTAGAAATAAGATCATCATATGTTAATTAGTTACATATTTCTTATTAAATAAACTAAAATATTTTTTTGATTTTTTCCTTTTATGACTTATTTTTTAATTTTAGAAGTGAAAAATAAAATGAATTGTAATAGTAAGTTTTTTAATACATAATATATAATTTATCATATTTATTTGTAACTGATATTAAATGTAATGAAAAAGAACATTTATATGTCTATAAAGAGTTAAAGTTTTATAATATAGAATAGTAACTTCATATGATATCAAAAAATAAAAGATCTCCATATTTAAATTAATGACATTTTTTAGCTTTAATATCATTAAATCATAGGATGATTTCTTTTTTTTATAACTATAATACACTTCAATGGGTTTAATTTGATTTAGAATAGAGCAGACGTTCCGGAACATTTTGAAAAATTGAGTTGAAAAAATGTTTCACATGCCTTAGTGGTTTCTTTCAACTCCTTTCTGTACTTAGAGTTTCCATTGCATTTTAGTAAAAATCATACCAAAATAAAGCTTCTTGTCTCTAGTCTATGTCAATGTATTTTTAGAAGAGTTATAGTAAAATGAAAAAGTAACGAATTTTTAAGAAACTTTGCAATTTTTGGCTTTATGACAAATAGCTTCTAGAAAAATTATCGGAGGAACATTTGAATTTCAAAAATTATCCCTAAAATCTACCCTTAGGAATAATTTTGTATACAATAAACTTAATATTTACTTTAAGTTTATAAATATAAATAAAATTTTAATTCATACATATTTATGAAAAAATAATTTTTTAACGATAAAATGGCGGTAATATTGTCAATAAAGAACACTAAATAAGTCAACAATTAAAAGGCGGCACTAATTTACACGCTTTACAGTAAAAAAAAACTTTTTTTTCTTAAAAATCATTTTATTTAACTCAATGTGTCATATAAATCTTAATTGAATTCAAACACTGTATTTAAATTTTTTGAAAATTAGAATTTTATTTTATTTATAATTAAATTCTAAAAAACTGTATACCTCATTGAAATTTGGTTGTAAAATATATTGGATATAAATAAAAAGATTTATTGATCTTCACAAAAGATTTAAATAATTAGCTTGATCTGTTTGATTTTTGGTCAGGCCTGGGTTAAGAGCAGGAACGAACACTCAAAGGTCTATGAACTTGAGGGTCCGTCACAAATTTAATAAATAAATTACACTACATAAGGTTACTATTTTATAGTTAAATACATATTTTATTAAAAAATTAAAAAATTAAAGTTTTGTTTATCAATATGAAACTATCACCTTTCAGATATATTACTTCAAAGGATAATTAATACTGGTAATGTGATCTTTTTTTTTTGTTAATTTAAATGTTTAGAATATTTCATGATTCTACTTTTTATTTAATATAATAAAACATTTTGCAATACTTAAAATATACAAAAAAAATTCTCATATCAAACCTTAAGTTTAAAGCAAATCATAATTCCTTGAAAACCTTTTATCATGAGCTACGAGAGAAAATTGTATAATGCTTGTCACTGAGTTTTGTTTCCTCGTCGTTGTGTAAAACATTGTTTCCCTTTATGAAATGAAATAGTTTCACAAACTGTTAAAATGTTTTTAATTATAAAAAAAATATATATTTTCTCAAATCAAAATCACATTATTTCGTTTCAGATATAGATGAATCAATATCTATATTTGAAAATACTTTTAAAGAAAAGGACTATCGTAAGACTTTTTTAATAAATACACATAATCGGGTTTATTTTATTCAACTTTAACTTATATTTGAATTTGAATAAGATTACAATTTATACAGTATAATAATATAAAGTTGTTATATTTTTCTTTTAGAAAGTTTGTTATTTTTTTTTTTTAAAGAAGGTAGTATATTTATAAAACAAATTATTTTTTATTATGAAATAAATAAATTTTTCAATTTTGGGTTATTTTAACGAGTTAAATATTTTATTTTACAGAAGAGGGTTATTTTACAGAAATGAATACATGTAATAATTAACAATATATTATTTAGTATTAACTTATTTTGTCATGTTAGGCAAAATATATAGTGTTTAAGTGTTTAAATATAAATAGTGTTTAAGATTTCGTCGTTTATATTGCGTACCTAAGTTTTTCTAGGTTTTCAGGATGATGAAAAACAAATTTAAATTATACACGTTTAAATAATAAAGCTGAATTTTATTTCATAATTATCTTTAGAACTCAAAAAAAAAAAAAATGTAGAAAATAATTCAAAAAACTCTTTTTTTATTATTAATAAAAAAACTCATTTTGTCAAATATTGAGATACGTACTATTGCAGTATAAATGATAATTTCTAACTTTTTTTATTAATTTATAAAGATTTATTTGTATAAGTAGTTATTAAAATAAAATTAATAAGAACATTATTTTGATTAGAATAAAGAATATAATTAAAAGTATATAATTATCAATATTTTTATGAATTGATGTTTTTAAAAAATTTCTTATATTATTAGAATCTATAATATCCACGATAAAGCACAACAAAGATTATATATGTATGATATACAAATACATTCACTAGTATGCCAATCCATGCCAAATCATCCAGAAGTGGTTGCACGACAAACTCATTTTTTTCATAAATTTTCAGGGTTTAATCTTTATGGTATATTAAAGCCATCTTTTATTATTTTTTTTATGGCTATTTCAATGTAAAAATTGTTAAAAATAGCTAGTACGTTAAAAAACACACAGATTATTGATTTAATCGAATTAAAGTTTTAGAATTGATCTTATTATAACTTAAAAATGTATACGAAATTCTAAACTTGAATTATTTTCTTTATTCAATTCGAAATTACCTTATTACAAGACATCTAATTAACAGTTCCGTTTGTAAAAAAAATTAATTATTTTAGTGACATTGCTTCCAGTCCAAAATGTAGCCTGCAACGAGTTGGTTTTAACCGAACATTTACTCCAATTTATGTTTCCATATTTTCAAAGAAAATATTAAAGGGATAAAAAACATTTATGCACTCACCTCAAAAGTACAAAAAAACGAAGAATCCTAATATGAAGTTTAAATTGTGTAAAACTACTCTCGGGAATAGGGAAAAACTCAGATCTGTACCAATTAATAACAATACCAAAAGGAGCCTTAAGATATCATTAACTGATATTTATAAAGACACAATATTCTAACTACTAGAATAAAACCATTATTATTTATTAAAATATTTTACAACATTATCATAATAATTTAATCCATTAATTTTTCATTTCGCATCTTAAATAATGAATTGAATAATTATAACATGTATAATGATTATATTAAATCATAATATATTACATATATAATAATATAAAGAACATTTACAAAAATGTGATTTGAAAACAACAAAAAACTATCATTAAATTATTTGATTTCAAGTGACCTTTTACTGATTTTCTAATGCTAAATTTTACATGTTACACTTTTTTCTCAAACTTCAAATTTTTATGGTGAATTAAATAGATAACTAAAAAGTTAAAACTTTTTTTTTTTTTGAAATTAGGTCCTTCAATAGAAATAATGCAGCTAGAATACGTGAATTTTTATGAAATTTCTGTTTTTTGCAGGCCTCTAAATCCCAAGAAAATTGTTTTAAATATTTGAAATTTAATTGAAACATAGATTATACATTATACAATACCACATGAAAATCACTATAAAATAATAACTTCTTAATGATTTAAGTGAGCTCATAAAACACTAATTTTTACAAAAAAAGCTCTATTTTTAGAAAGTCATTAAAGTTTAGAATTTCAAATAATTCTTTTTTATTTTATGTACACTTTAAGTTATAATAATTTTAAGTCTAAAATTTTAATTCAATTAAATTAATATTGAATAATTTGTATATTTTTTTAACGTTCTGGCTTTTTAAAACTTTTTTTTAATTGAAATATCCATAAAAATAGGGTCATAAAAAAATTTTTTCTTTAATCTTAATATAGGATAAAGATTAAACTCTAAAAATTTAAGAAAAAATGAGTTGGTCATGCAATCACTTCTGGATGAATAACCATGGATTGACCTTAGTTTGTTTTTTTAACAACCAGTAAAATAAATTTAATAATTATATTTTAACTTATAAATAAATCGAATCTAAATTGATTTGGACAACCTTTTATAATTAATTTAATTTATAAAAATATATTTAAGTGTGAGAAAATTTTTCTTTGAGGTTATATTTACATAATTAATACACATTTTTTCTTTCAAAATGTAAATTTTATACACACGTTATATGGGATACAAATATTATTCAAAAATATATTTTAGTATTATGAAAAGGGGAAATATAGACTGTGAAAATCATTCTTTTAGCAATTTACATAGATCTAATTTTCATCGTGCACTTCTTAAAAACCCGTAAAGATACCTGAAAAAGAGTTACGTATAATTTAAAAACTGTAGAACACGCAGGGCTGTTTTTTTCACTCATCAATGTTATTTAAAAAATGATTTTGAAAAATTTGGAGAGCGAAAATACAAGAAAATCGGCTGTACAAAAGCATCAGAAAAATTTAATAATTCTTGATCGTGTAAATAATCGGAGCGTTTTAAATGTACTTGACTATCCATTGAGTTTGTTTTTTTTAGCATCTTTCTTTTGATTTCTGGCTGTTTTTCAACACCAAAGATTAATCTTATTTGAGCTACCAAATCGTATTGCATTAACTTAAGAAAGATAGTCTGATTACTGTACTTAAAAAATTAGATGTGGGAATATTATAAGAAAGCCGAGGGGGATTCTTTCAAAATGACATTGTATATTGGGAAGAAAATTAATTTCTCCTTAGAGAGTGCTTATAAATATTAAATAATTATAGTATTATAAATTTTTATTTATATATACAATTTTTTAGTTGTTGAAGTGTATTTCAAAAGAGCTATTATACAAGAAGAAAACATCAATCGTCTTATACGAGGTGTGACAATAAAATAACGAGACTTTTTTAATAAAAGTTATTTATTTTAAAAATTTTACAATTTAATGATTGTCACCTTCAAAGTACCTTCCCTCAGCATCAACACACTGTTGCATACGTCGCTGCCATTCTTGAAAACAATGTTGCCAGTCGCTTTCACTTAGCCCTTTTAGAAGTTCTGCCGTTTTTATTTTTACGTCATCAACCGTTTGAAAATGTGTTCCTTTTAATAAACTTTTAATTTTTGGGAATAAGAAGAAGTCACAAGGAGGAAGGTCTGGCGAGTACGGGGGATGTTGAAGTATAGAAATTGTTTTTCAGTTTAAAAACGTTGAATTGAAAATGCACTGTGAGCTGGAACATTGTCTTGGTGAAGAACCCAGCCATTCTTTCACAGATCTGGTCGCTTTTTTCTAACACGTTCTCTTAATTTAATTAATACCTCTTTATAATAATATTGGTTGACAGTTTGCTCACTAGGAACCCATTCAACAAAAATTATTCCCTTAATGTAAAAGAAAACAATGAGCATAGCTTTGAATTTTGACTACTAATTCGTGCTTTCTTCATTATTGAGGAAGTTGGTGTCTTCCAATGCATGGCTTGCCTTTTAGATTCAGGATCATATGTAAAAATCCACTTTTCATCACACGTAATGATATTATTTATAAAATATGGATCACCTTTGTAGATTTTTAAGGTGTCAGAACAAATTTCTTTGGGATTGAATTTTTGATCAAATTTTTAGGGACCATTTTAACACACATTTTTTTTATTTAAATTTTCAACTAAAATTTTACGAGTACTTTCTCTATCAATATTTACCATCTCTGCTACAGCTCTAACACTTAATCGACGATCTTGCCGAATAATTTTGTCGATTTTTTCAACGTTTTCGTTTGTTGAACATGTGGTAGAACGTCCAGAACGATCATCGTTTTCCACGTCCTCTCTTCCATTGCAGAACCGTTTGAGCCATTTAAAAACGCGAGCTCTAGATAACACATTCTTCACTATAAACTTCACATAACATACGAAATGATTCCGGGAAAGTTTTTTTTAATTTAACAAGAAATTTAATTTTAACACGTTGCTCAATTTTTATATCTAACATTTTTCGGCAGTATAGTCGAATTCGCACTAATAACAAGGTTACTAACGTATAAGAAAATTAACCGGTTTCATCAGTGTTTATAGTACTTTTAGATAAGCGTTTCCTAATCATATTTCAATAATCGTTTTAAAGATAACGTTAATAGTTTAGGTTATATTTAGAAAGTCTCGTTATTTTATTGTCACACCTCGTACTTCATAGTACTTTAAATACAAAGCAAGGTGAATAAATAAAAATAAAAATATAAAATGAAATAGTTTTTAATTTTATGTATTATTGTTGAAGTATCTATATTAACTATAATTTATACAATAAAATAATTATTTAATTTAGATGAATATAAATTTAAAGGTAAACATTTTATATACTAAAGTTTTTTATTACTTAAAAAATATTGGTTTATGTTGTTAAAATATAAATAACAAATAAAATTTTTATGTATTTATAATATTAAGGATAATATTATAGATAACTTAATCAATAAATATTATTGGTTAAATAAAAAAAGGTACTGCGAAAAACAAAGTAAATCCACTTTAAAAAAATTAAATCAATTGAACAACCAAAAAGGAATATCTTAGCACAACACATATATAATGAAAAATGTTAGATTGACAATAATTAAGCTTTATATTCTTCTCGACATTTTGTCAATTCATTATAGGGAACGTCTAACGTTTAAATGTATTAAGATTAAACGTTTTATTTAGTAAAAATATTGAATTCTAACTTCATATGTTCATATTAGTCAGTAAACAAAAAATGATAAATATATTGAGAATATTTTTAGATACAGCAACATATAATAATATTGTACAAGAAAGAAGAAATATTATGAGAAAAATATTTATTCATTACTATGATAAAGTTTTACGTGAGTTTAACGATTTGTATAAATATCAAATTAAGAAATCACTTCAGTAATTTCTTAAAAATCGTTCTTAATAAATCTTAATAAAATTAATTATAATTGATAAGTTTATTTTAAACAAAAATATTTCTAAGAGTACTTTTTATAGGGGTGAATTTTGGAAGTTAAATGGAAACCTAAAAATATTTGTATACTATTATATGGAGAATAGATTAAATAAAATGTTGACTAGTCAATAACCAGTTTTATAATACTACTTTTAGATTTATAATAATTTAAAGGTATAGCAGAAAGATTTTGATTAATAACACTCTACAAGTTTTATTCATTTGAAGACATTTCCCTCAATATTTCAAAAAAAATTTCTCGGCCTAGTAATCAAGGGAAATTTTAAAAAAGTACAATTTTTAAAACTTGGAAAGTTCAATATATTTTTTACTTTTTGGAAATAACTTTTTGGAACTACTAATAGGTATATGTTTTTTGAAGATCTCACCCCATGCCCGACACAGAATATATTAAATATATTTTGAAGTAGCAACTTTTGCATAAGAAATTGACTTTTCTTTTTTTAATTTTTCGAAATATTACAAAAACTATGCATTTTTTAAATATAACTTAAATTAAATCTTATACAACATAATTTACTTTGAAAAAAAATATTAACTTCTAGACTTATCTTCTGATATAATCTGATAATAAATTGGCATCTAAAACAGAGAAAAATGTATGACTTTTGTGTAAAAATTACAAAACTTAGAATAGTTGTATGAATATTTATACCAATTTTTTCTTTAGAGAATGTTTAAAAAAACTTTATTCTATTGACGTGAAATAGAAATATATAGGTAGATTTATTTTTATGAAAAAGATTATTGAAAAAAAGATGTTTAATAATTTTTCAACAAAAAATTTAAAAAGTATCATTTTTAATGAATCACCTTTATTTTTTTGAAATACTTAGTCTTTTGCTAATTAAATTAATTATTTTATAATACTTTTATTTTAATAATATGTATTTATGCATGTTTATTTTCATATCTACAAAAAAGTTATAAAATTTATATTATTATTGTTTTTGTTTATAAATTAATAAATAATTTAAATTCTATCATTTTCAATAAAAAAGTAATATAAAATTGAATAATTATTAAGAATAAAAATGAAAATATTTTTGGAAAAAATAATTTCTTTACCTTTTGGTTCTCAGATTTCGACATTAGATCAGGCATTTTAAATTTTGTTCGATTGACTATAAAAATATACCCTTTATACTTTAATAAAAAAATCATATTGAGTGGTATTATTTTATTTATATCTGTTTTGATATTTTAGGTGAGAAAGATCTTTGTAAGTCAGATGGAAATGATGATAGAAAATGTATTTTTATTGCTTTAATCAGTAATACTGATTCCAGAGTTAATGGCTTCATTTTTGATCCGATATGTCGAAAAGGTTATTGCGTTCTTAGTTCTTATAATGACAGTGATTCTTCAAGAGCGAACTATATAAAAAGTGATTTTCCCTTGTTTTATAAAGATTCTGAGGATGGAGAAAACCAACTTCTTTCATGGACGGAAGAAAAAATAGAAACAGGCATATTAGTACAGTGGGAATAGAATTACATTACACTTTTGTTATTTTTATGCAACTGTTAGAATTCCACCGTAAATAAATAAATAAATTGAATATATCCAAAAAAAATTGTTGTATAAATTTCTTACAAATAAAATTGATAGATCATTTGATTATTAATTATCAAAGCGTTTGATCTTACGTTTTTTTTATTAGTACATTTAATCCAATAATTGTGATGAAAGAACGATATATAATTTAAAAAATAAACAGTTTATTTGGTCAACCGATCCCAAATTTATAGTATAGTAATCTATATATATATAGGAAAATGGTATGGTAATATTTAAAAAATCTTTACTATTTTTAATGTTTCTTTTATATTACGACAATAAATAAAGGATATTTATAACATTATGGAAATATTTATTGAATAATTTTAAATCTTTAAACTTTGAGCTTACATAATTAAATTCATTATTTGAAATTTTGAAATACTATCACATATTTATGTACATGTATTTCATTTTCGGCAATGTTTCAAGATAGTGTTTACAAGACTAAATAAGATGTCGTCATTAATTCTACAGACTTTAAAAAAGTAAGAAGATATATCACAAATGAAGTATGTCAAAATAAAGATGTCTTTAATATTTTAATATTTTATAAAAATATAAAAATAAATAAAAGATTAGCTTTTTTTTTTTTTTTAATTTTGGTGTGTTAATCAATGACACATTATAAACGAATTGTCGAAATTTTATTTCAACATAAAAAAAAGGAAAGTAAAACAAAGATTTCAAGCTCAAGTATTAAGAAAAATTAGTGTCATTTTACTCAATCATTTTATAAATTAGAACTCGACGACAAAGCGTTAAGATTTGACAAACTCTATTATGCATCTTTGACTACTCAATTGCTTATAACTTATTCACTTATCAAAAAAATAAAATAGCTTAATTATTACATACTTCAATCGGTAAACCATATGAAATATAATTTTTAAAAATATAAAATATGATACAGCTGTATTTGATTTACAATGTAGTTTAAAATCAACTAAATGTTGCACAAAATACACCAGCTTTGTAAATAATTAAAAACAGTCTGAAGATATTAATATAATAAAAATGATGTTAATTCCTATTATTCTGTTTTTAAATAATCGAGAAAAAAATTTATATGCTCCATAGTGTCTTTTTTTCATTATCTAAAACAATTTTTGGGGGATACACTTATTTTATTCAGTAAACAATTTTAACAAAATGATTCAGTTAAAATTACATTCAATTATTTATTTGATTTTAATTAAAGGTAATAATATAATTTTACTGAATTATATAAAAAAAAAGTACGTATGCTTTATTTAATGCAGAGTATATAAAAACTCAAATTTTTTTTTCAGAATAATTAATATTTTAGCTTCGATGCTTAGCTATGTTCCCTGTTTTTTATTCTTGTGACTCTCAACATGGCTTCACCTAGACAATTTATCTCACCGATACATAAAAACATCACAAATCGTATTAAGTTGCTATCAGTGCCGAAATTTGAAAAAATTCCTTTTAATCCCAATGATAAAAAGAATATCCTAACAAATAAAAATTGTTCAATTTTGATATAATTAGTTTCAATTTTATACTTAAATAGGAAAGAACGACTCAAAGTTAATATTAGGTGTAAGATTATTTTCTCGAATTTAAAAAAATAAAGTAATGTTTGTGACAAAGTTTTTGAAAATAACTTAAATTAACACAAATATTTATTTTAAATCCCAGTGAACAGATGGAATTTCTTCGGATGGGTCTGGTAAAAAATGTAGTACATAAGTCGCAAACAACGGCGTCAGTAAGCGTTTTTTTTTAAATACAGTCAACATTCAAAACGCTCATGGTGAACGGTTAAAGTATTGTAAATAATTTCCCTCAAAATGCTTGACCGAGTACTTTTGTTAAATAAACAATTGTAAATCATAGCATGTTAAGTAATTTTCCCAGAAAATCTTTTTTTTTCTTTATTCTATTATATAATAAGATTTAAAAAAACATATAGCAATTTTTTTTAATTTTTATACATTAATATTTAATATTACCACTTATATTATTGTTATTTTTGTATATTTAAAAAAAACAGTTAGTAACTGCAAATTACTTATGTGTTGTGCGCAATACTCGACTCCTAAATTATGAAATATGAATAGAATATAATTTAGACATAAAAAAAAATTAATTGTAGACTTAAAATATTAAATAAATCAATAGCCAACTTATACAAATTGTGTGTTNAAATAAATCAATAGCCAACTTATAAAAATTTTGTGTTAAATATCATAGTACGGTATAATATAAACACAGGTCATATTATGAGCTATATTTTTAGAGTTTATATTCAATAATTTATTGCATATCATTATGTTGAATTAAGTTGTTACCTTAACTATGTAAATAATTTCGCTTTATATATTTTCACACGTTCAAAAACCTAACATATTTATTGAATGTTTAGGATTTAGTGCCCAGATTGTAGATTCGGAACCAAATGATAAAGGTCAGATTTTTATTTTAACACTGATATATTTCATTTTTATATTTTAGTTTTTAGCCGAGTATTAAAATAAAAATACAAATAGTTGAATAATCTTTTTAAGAAAACTATTATGGAGCCATTTAACTAAAAATATAAAAAACTATTTAATTTTGATTGCAGTTGGATTACCGATATTTAATATTTGGTTCTATCACAGTTTTTAAGTGTTTTCATGATTTAAAAGTATGATTTAATTTTCGAATAATTGTATGTATATATATGTATGTAAATGGAACGTTGTTCATCTTTTTTTTATTTCATTAGGAATAACTCGTCATTGCTCGCATGTGAAAAATACCTGTATAGTTTTTGTATTGAAATAAAGTGAATTTGTACCTTATAAGTTATAACGAATCACAAATATGTTTTCTGTTTAGTTTTGTTTTATTTCGTTTTTAGTTATGATTAAGGTTTAATTTTGTTATATGTCATTTAATTTTATTCACTGTTTTGATATTGTTTTATTTCGTTAAATTTTAAACATTTTTTTTACGTTTTAGGATTAGGTCGTTTTTTAGAAGTTATGAAAACGATTTCTAACCCTCATGTATAGTAACATCAGTGTAAAATGAATTTCATTAAAAGAGCTGTTACTCTCTGCATTAAACCTTTTTTTAGTATAAAAAAATCCATATGAAGCTTCACCAATACTAACGTGAGGATTTATTTATTTATTATTTTGGTTGTATATGGCTGTTTTATTAAGTTGAATGATAAAACATTGCTGAGTAGGTTCAGCAATAATTATTGAGTGTGCTAGCCTATACAAAAATCTTCTATAATATTTAAGTTTTATATGTTGGTATATCGTGTGATTCAATCAGTCTCATTTTTTTAATTTCGTTATTACATTATGTAACATACTTCCTATGAGGAAACACTTCACAGTGTTACGGGTATGGCGAACCAGGGGCCCCGAGCCCCACACTGACTTTAATTACTTTGGTGTGTATTGACCCTCCAGGTTGGGGGTTGAGCAGAGGGCTAACAACCCGTCCTTGTGATAATATCCAATGTTAAGAAACCAATATAGTTCTTGTCTTGGACTTAGATTTTGGATACAACTCGAAAACGGCAAGAACCAAACTAACAGGATTAGCACTCGGAACATCAGATCAATTTATAAACCGTGTACTCAGTATATAAATTAATCTGATGTTAAGTCCATAAATGACGTGGTGAAGAAATACAAGAACGTTCAAATAGCGATACTGCTGGAGGTCAGGTGGCGGAGGGAAGGAAACGTCAGAGCTAATGTAATGACATTTTACAGTGGAGCATCTAATGGCAAGCATGACAATTGAGAAGCACGAGAGGTTTCTTAGTAAATGATCAACTCTTACCTTCGANATCTAATGGCAAGCATAAGATCGAGAGGTTTCTTAGTAAATGATCAATTCTTACCTTCGATAAAGAAATTTACTCCATTAAATGATCAAATCTGTCATATTCATATGCCCGGTAAACAATATGAAATTATATTGATATTTGTATACTCACTTAAAGAAACGGATGAAAAAGACTTGAAGGATATATTCTATGACAAATTAGAAAGAGTGTATAGTGACCTATCAAGACACTGTATAAAATTATATTAAAATACTTTAACTCTAAAGTGGGCCGAGAGACGATATATAAACCTACATGTGGCTAGATCAGAAGAGGAACCAGAAATACAAACTGCGTGAAAAATAATTAAAAATTTAGTTCTAGGGGTAGCGGATAGTGTAATTAAACAATATATAATAGATCAAAAGCAAAGCACTGGTTCAAACAAAATTGTGCAGAAGTCATTGAACTACTCAATAATGCTAGATTGCAAGTGATCCAATTCCCAACTCAGTTAAATATGGAGATATATAAAAAAGGAGAAAAGAAGCACATAAAGTGATAAGACAAAAAAAAAGGAAAATGGAAAAGAAAATATTGAAAAATTGGAAAGATATAGACACAACCTCATGGAGTTTTTTAGAGTTTTAGAGAACGAAGAAATGTAACCAAGTAGATCAGAATTGATCATTAAATCACTTAAAAATAATAAGGCAGTAGGGGAAGACTGAATTTGCTCTTAGGCTAACTGAGGAGATATTTAATCTTATATATAGAATATTCATAAAGAAGAAATCTTTTTCGAATGGAGAACATCCGCTATTTGTTGTTGTTTTTTTTCCTCGCCTTAATCTCAACTACTTGGGGTCGGCCACCCTTATTCTAAACTTCCACTTAACACAATTACCCACAACATCTACGCTCACATCAGCCGTCAACACAAATACTAGAAAACGTATGCATAATGAAATTAAACTCCATCTAAAAGCTGGAAAACTGAGGTTATGTTGTACCTGGGCAACAAGAGCAGGAAATTAAAATAGATTAGGTACCGTTTATAACCCTGGTATTCAAGTGTAAGAGAAAAGATCAAAATGAACAACAATTATATGGAAAAGGAAGTATAGTACAATTTGTTAAAGGTGCAAGACTAGAATGGGTAGAACATGTCTGGAGAGCCAACAACAGTATTGTCAAGAAGGTATTTGTGAAAAATTTGAACAGGAAAAGACCTCATGGTAGACCAAAGCAACGGTGGCTAGATGTAGTCAAAAAAGACCTGCAAAAGTTGAAACCAGATTGGCATAGGGACTTGACACGGCCCGTAAAGCGCACTATTCATTTACCGTGAATTAGCACGTTATCCGGTCGTGATTATCAGCTGTCCACCGTCGCACTCATTAGTGTTGACGATAACACAAGTTTGTCTTATCCGGCGGTTGGTAGATAGGACAGGTCAGGGGGTTCAGCATCACGAGACACGTCGGCGACTATGTAAACCAGTTCATCTGTGACTTACATCCGCCGTAGGTGCCGTGTGATTTTTCATCAGCGCATTATTGTTTTTGTATTTCGCACCTCACTGTACACCAGTTTTTATAATATTATTATAATTTAAAATAAAATTAAGTTGACTCCATCACGGTGTTACGTTTGTTTATTATTATTAATAATCTTTTTAAAAATACCGTGTCAGACTTAAATCATGCGTATAATAGAGAGGAGTGGAAAAATTTAGTATTTGTAGCAAAGGGCCTAAATGGTCTATAATGCTAATATCAAAAAAATATATATATATTAGGTAACATACAGCTAAGAGTGTAACCAAGAAAATATTTTACCTTGAAATTAAAGTTGACCTTAAAGTTCGTGACATGTTTGATATCTCTCGATGGCACAAAAGTTCTTGTTTTATGCATTGGTTCTAAGTTACAAATAAACATAGATATCATTTTTTATTAATATTCTCTGTAATGAAAATCATATTTTTTTAGACGATAATGATAAATGTACTATTTGCATGGTAAATAATAATACTATAATTATTACAAATTGTGGTCACAAATTATGTGACAATTGTGCTCTAAATATTCGAAAAAAATCTCAAAAAACTTATGGTGAAATTCCTGTATGTCCATATTGCCGAGCTCAAATGATAGAATTTACAAGAGAAGGTTTGTAAAATTAAGCATTATCATTTATTTGCAATAAATATTACGTTATAGCATATATTATATTTTTACATAACGTTAATATTTGAAAATACTTAATCACCTAGAACTTAAAAGTGGTACAAATGTTAAATGATTGTGCTACTGGTAGCTTTATGAACATGAATTTTTGTATGACGAAAAAGTATGTCATTTAAAGAGAGAGGATCAACTTTACTGAAGTCTAATTTTATAGTAGATATTGAAACAGCTTAATACATATTCATAAATAACCAGGCCATATCAGATTAATAAAATTTAGAATTTAGTCATATAAATAAAAATGTATTTAATTAAAAAAGGTTTTTTTTCTCAATAATTTTTAAAGAGTGTACAAGATAATCTTATAAACATAATTTTAGAATCACATGGATGACAATAATTTTAAATAGCCTAGTTAACTTTTTTTTGTTATCAGTTTAAACTTGATTGAATCAAATTTTGTTTTTAATGTATATAATGTTCGTTTGAATTTATAACAAACGCAGTTAAATTAACTACTTAAATCATCATAGATAGTAATTATCTATAGCCATAGATTATTAATAACGACTGGAGCGAACGGCTTTGTTAAATGATTGACCAGTCAATAGTTGTGTCAGTTCAAAATGATCTGAAATGACGTCTTCGAATAAAAAATTATATAATATATTTTAATTTATATTTTATAGGAAATGAGTTCAAGGATTTATTACCCTATAGTAAGTAAAATAGCACAGTGGGGTCGCGGTACAGTATAGACGTGGATATTAGATTATATTTGACAGTGATTACAATCACTTTCATAAGAAACGCTTCGATGCAAATCTGTAGATAGTGTTTAATTTTAAGAAATTGGTAGATTATTTCAAAATCAATAATAACTTTTATTCCCTTAATAGTTAAGAAATTTTCTTCTCGCGAGGGGTGACTACAGTGATGGCATTCCTGACCTTCATTGAAGTTATTGAATCTAAATGAGCTGAAAATTTATTCTAACTTAAAAAGAATTCAGAAAAAATTGCAAAAAATTCCTTGTCATACACAGGTTGGAACCTTGTACCCCAAGCGTATAAGACACAAGTGTTATCGACTCGGTAACCTTCCAACGACTGAAAAAAATTTAAGCTAGTTCGAAATTCAAAGTTATTTTTCTCTACTTAAAAAAAGTAAAAAATTAAATAAGTTTAACTTTCTATGCTATATCAATTTAATTTATTAAATATTTATGAAAATCAGTGTACTCCCCTTGTCAAGTATTTTAAAATAAAATAAAATACAGATCCTAGAATTTTAACAAAAAAATAGCATATTTTTAAATACGGTAGTCATTTTCACCATAAAGACAAATCCAGAGGCTAATTTTTTTTTTTCAAGTTTAAGTATATTACATAAGCTTTAATTTAAGGTATACATAAAAGTGTCAGCTTTTCAAGAACATTTTCAAAAGTTAAGTTGAAAAAGTTAATTTTTTGTAAAAAATTTGCCATTTTAATACCCTTCCTGAGGGCTGGTAAAGGGTCAAATGTTCACAAAAATATAGCAAATGATAGGTAAATACTTATGGTATCTATAAAAAAAAATTATATTGATTCGGTCATTTTTAAAAAAGTTATGGTAGTATTAAGAAAAAAAAAATGAAAAAATGTCGAAATATACCGAATTATAAAATTGTAACTTCTTGGTGGATTTCTCCATTTACGAGGAAGAAGGTAATTTTTTCAATTTTTGAGGGTAATATCTTCAACTAGATACAATTTATGATCTTTTGACGTATTGTTCATAAAAATGAGAGCTGAGATTGATACCAGACACAAAAAAAAAAAAATTTTAAAAAACCACATCATAGTATAATTAATACCTTCTCAGCTTCGCATCGAAGCTAAATATTTCATATTTAAATAATCATATTAACATATTAACATTTTACTTTTCATTTTTATATTGAAGGTTGGCTTTATTCTTTACATGATAATATATTATTAATTTTATTGTACTTTGTAATCCATTATTTTGTAACTATAGAGTTATCATAGTTATATACTTGTGACTTTTTTTATTCAATTTGTTTTCGCACTGAACTTATAGTTTAGGATACGGTATTGTAAATATACTATTAATGTGTGTATTACTCTTGAAATAGTATATTATTTTCTATGTCACTCTTTAAACTCTCTTTAAAAGGTTTAACTTTGTATTTCTCTGTACACCTAACAACAGGAACACATGGTTTTTCTCTAAAAAATCATTTTTGTAGTATAAAAAATTTCACTTTATTGATGAATGATTTAAAAATAAATGACATTTAAATGTAATAATTACACAGAGAAATTTCCAACTGAAATAATTACTAGATTCATTACATGAATGTTTTTTTGAGTAATGTACTCTGTAAGAGGAAAAACGTCATTCATGCTATGTGAAATCATAAATATAATTTATTATTTAAAATAATATAATTTTTATATGTGAAATAAAGTACAAAATCGTCTACAGATCTGGTCAAATGTAATAGCTGTTAAAATATTTTATTATCTGATCAAAAGTGAGCTAACATTTTATTAAAGTCCATGCGCATGTTTGAAAAAGTAATTCGACTGCGTCGTATTTCTATTAAATTTATTCCGAAATGTTATCAACAAACTAATATATATTTCATTAATAACATCCCTTACTTTTAAACAATTAAGATATCGTTGTTTCATAAAGAAATTTAAGAGTGTTGAAAATTTTATATTGTAGCTGAAAATTCTACTTGCCAGTGCGCTTAACAAGAAAAATAACAATATAATTATTTAAAACTGCAAATTTTTACACTACTCGCTTGGCAGCAACAATACTTTTTAGAAGTTTATTCATTTTTTCGAATATATTATCAATATTTAGAAAACAATAATCTCATTTGGCGGCTTTACTTGAGTATTGAATTGCAATTAATATTATTTTATATAAAAGGCACATTTATTATACCAATGGAATATTGAAGTTACACAGTTTGGTGTAACATCCAAAAAATTATATACAAAAATTGATAATAATAGATCACATCTTAAATATACAATCGATAAGAGTTCAAATTAAAAAGAAAAAATTCTACACTAGAAAACTTAAAAAAAAATGTCAACCCCAATATATATATATATATATATAAAATAACAAAAATAATAAATAAAATTGTTTGCAAATACAAAAGAATTACTATCATAAAATTAATTATGGTACGAAAATTGAATAAAAAAAGTACAAAATGTATAATATTTCTCACGAAATCGAAAAACATCGAATCGATGTTAAAACGATATTAGAAACTCAACGTTGCACATTGAATATCGTAAAAAACGCGTTTTCAATGGAAAAAAGCCCTCCCCAGCGCGTACTTCAATTAAACACGATAGTTCTAATTGTAAGTAAAGCGACTTGGGCAGAGAATTGGAGTTATAAAGTGAATATTACATGTTTTTATGAATATTGACGAGTAGGTCGTTTAACGGAGGTCAAATAAGGTCGTGATCGGTAAAATTGAATCTTGATGATCAAAAATATACGTCAAAATTGGAACAACGTGCCGGCTTCTAGTTCATACTTATGCCTCAACCGGATAAAAGGCATTGTGAAGGGGTTGATCGGTGTGTCGTCGTCTCTGGACATCCTCTCGGCCAGCTCCAAAGATAACGGTCCGCAATCATAACCGTTGCGTTGTTGCACCGCTTTTCCGTACCGTAAAATCCATCGGGAAGAATATCCGTAGTTTTCGATCTCCCAGTCGATAAGAAATTGTCTCAATAACGATGGGTAGGGGCCATTGTAGGAGTTGTGGCTGTCAAAAAACGTTATGGTCTTTTCGGGTACATCGACCACAGTCATGGTCCAATGGTTGCCATTTACGTGCATCGGCACCAACAGGAGTCTTAACGAGTGTACATCGACTTTGATCCACTTTTTCACGCCGGCGTATCCCCGTCGGGAAAGCGCCTCCATAAAATCGGAGATCAGGTAGTGCACTTTGCCTGGCGAACGCGAAGCAATTAGACTTAAATACGCGTCGATCGTGTCGCCGCTGTACCACGTCGTGCGAGTGAGAAACGAATCGTATGAGGGCGGTTTCTTCTTCTTCTCGTTCAAATCTCGCGGCACGTCTGCAAGCAAAATTATTTATTTTTTAATCCGATCGCTTAGTTATTCGGTTTTATAATTAAAAAAATATTATTTATCTATTTTCAAATGTTATTTAATAATGCCGTTTATTTAAGTCTAATTAATGGACTAGTCGTTTACCGTCTGAGGAGGAACTACCGTTTTCGCTGTCGGCCGAGTCTATGTCGATTGTTTCAATCATTGTACTCGGATTGTCAACTCGAGGTGGTGTTTTCTTGACGAGGGAAATCGATGGTATCTCGTCGAGCCTCCAGACTTTCAGGACTAATCCGTGGGGCTTATCGATTTCGTCGTCAGTCGTTTGCATAATTTTTTTTGTCGCATAGTTTTCGGTAGTCGTAGTAAGCTTTGGTTTTTTGGACATGCAAGAATATGGAGTGTCCTGCGAAAGCCGTTTGACTTTTGTAAGCGTTAAGTCACGATCGGTAGTACTGTTTCGTTTGTNTAAGTCACAATCGGTAGTACTGTTTCGTTTGTTTTTTATCAGTTCGGTAGCCGATGGCTTTGATTTCATAATCGTTTCAGTGTTGGCGATATATTCCGGTTTGGTAGCAGTCATGTCCGCGTAAGATCCATTTGAATTCGTGGTTAGTAATTTGGCACCGTAGGCAACTTTAGCATTGGTCGTTTCTGACCGATCGGTGGCCAATACGGTGTTGGTAAACATGTCGTGATTTTCGTCTGCCGAAAATGATTCAATATACGACGGTAAGGTCTGTATACAGACAAGTGGTACGTTTTTTACGAGGATTTTAAAAATTTCAATTGCTCTTCAAAACACAAAAATCACCGTGATTCGTTCAAAATTATTTACTTTAAGTGCGCTTATTTGGTATCCAAGCAAATTCACTCAAAAGTAAATACAATTAAATAACAGTTTATAAACTTCGTTTCACGATAAACACCCCGCGAGGTCGTTGAAATTATAATCCAGAATTAAATGTTTTTTTTTGTATACTCCTTTAATACACGGGATCTATCGAGCTCCTTTCGTTCAAGAATAGACAAATCGGTATAAAATCAAGCTTTCCGAAGGACAAATGATTATTCGATTTTTGTTTAACGCTACCTCCTTATGCTTTTTTAATACACATAAAAATGAGCTATGCAAAATTTAGAATGATCCGTTAAGATAAATCCGTGCCCTTGGACGTCTTAAAATGAGTTAATATGGCAATTTTAATAGAAATAACTAATCTTAAATATGACTTTACTTTGTCGTTGACATAAAATAATAGTGTAATTTTATTAATAGAGTGTTCAGTAAGAAAGAAAACAGATTTCTATTGTTCTTATTGTTTATAGCTTTTACCTGTTTCCTTACTTACTGAAAACGGTGTATAATCTCTCAGTAGTAAATAATGTACACGATTGTCAGTCTATCCTTCAGGTATAACTCATTTAAGGAATTAAGGATATTATTTGGGCATATATCAGGTAGCATTCGATTTTTGGTTTTTATTTAAAAAACTTTTAAAAATGTCGAAAATTAGCGATTTTTAAATTAGTAATTTTTAGGAGATTTACCCCATTTACGGGAAACGAGGGAATTTTTTTAATTTTTGAGGGTAATATCTTTGACTAGATACGATTTGTGATCTTTTGACGTATTGTTAAAAGAAATCGGTTCAGTGAGAGCTGAGAAAAAGTGGAACAGACACAAAAAAAAAAACACATTGTAGTATAATTAATACATTCTCAGCTAAAATTTTCTTTCAATCCTTGTAATAGAGTAAAAAAAAAAAAGGAAAATGTCACAAAAAATTATAATTGTAATAAAAAAACTCATTTTTGGTTTTCATTTTATATTCAAATAACTTTTTAAAAACTGAACATATTATAATTCATATATTTTATTATATTATATTATATTCATAAAACTTAATTACTAAAAGTTATTGAAACAAAAACTACATATTGTTTTCGGCATAAATGGTCGATTTTTTAGTTTTTAGTTTTTTAGCACAATAACAAAACATTTGCATCATTCAAAATTAACTGAAAATAAAATTTTTATGTAATATAAGATTTAAAAAAACATTAATTGTCCTTATTTTTTTTAAGTCTTCAATATTTGACAACTTACTCTCTATGAGTAATCAACCTCTTTAGTAAAAATTAAGTAACTTTTGGTATATATGATAAATTTTTCTTAAATATATTTTAATCACACTTCATTTTTGTAATAGTGATTTTAATCACTATCAGATATCAGTCATTACTAATCTAAAATATTACTCCAATTCACTACACTCTTCCCAGCTGTAAATTGCATTTTTTAATTTTGTTGTAATCATCATTATATATATAATCACATTATTGTTTTGTTTATAAAGGTGGTATTGAAGTTTAAATATTGTCTTTTACATCTTACAAAAATTTAGATCATTAAATTATCTCAAGCAAATTTTGTTTTTATATTAAATGATGGTAATAATACCAAAAATAAAATATCCTTCATTTAAGACATTAAGCATAATAATGGTTGACTGATGTTTTTTTAACTTAGCTAACATGCTTGCTTGATCAGCCTTCTATTTAATTGAAATTTAATTTGAGCTTTATTCATTTTTTTTTCTTTTATATCTAAAATTAACGATTAATCATATAATTTCACAGTTGATGATGGTGAATGCAAAATTTGTTTATTAAACAGAGGTGTATCATTACTAAGTCCATTTTGTGGGCACAAGTTATGTTTATATTGTGCAAATAACTTAATAACTCAAGCACAAAACAATAAAGCTAATCCTCTTCATTGTAAATTTTGCGGAAAGAAAACAAACCACTTTGAAAGTATGTAATCATAAAAAATGTTAATTAATAATTAAATATCAATAATATATGGTTTAATAATATATGGTAATAAATANTAATTAATAATTAAATATCAATAATATATGTTAATAAATTTTTTTTTCAGAAAATATTAAGGTGTTTAATCGTAAGTTTTATGGTTATAACTTGTAATTGTGCTATGAAATTTCAAAATTTATTAGTATCTTAACTTATGACAAATAAGAATTGCATAATAATTAAAAATTAATTTCATACTCTCCAATTTAATCATAAATTAGATACTCTTAACGTTACTAGATTTTAGAATTTTGGTAATTTTGTGCAAATAATCCACTCATCAGGGAAACAATAATTTTTTTAATAACTCATTCCACTAGTGTATTAAATATTCCAAACGAGTAGACCCTAAATAATAGTTAATTAACATTATAATACTTGAATACATAAATCGTACAAGGTGATTGATTATCTTTAATCACTACATTTTTCCTAAAGCAATAATTTTGAAAAAAAAAATTGTATTTTGTTTATTGTTATTTATTTTTTATTTAATAACTTTTTAACCAGTATTCGGAAGTTATTAACATTTTAAAATGTAGACTGGAGGTGAGATGAGGATTTTTTATTTTTTCATTATGCATATTTCTACTTAAAACCTGCATTTCTCTAACTAGGTATAAAAATATTCAAATTCCTGATTTAAGTTGTTATCGTTCAGTGATTTCACTAGTTGTATCATTTTCTATTATATGTCTATTTAAAATATATGCTACCGTTTAATAAAATTAAGTCGGTACCCTTTTAAGGAGCAAGGAATGAACATAAAAAGTCTTTAACCATTTAAAATTCAAAAAATAAATAGCACTTAAATTAACTAAAAATAAAAATACTCAAAAGTATTAGTATTTTTGAAGAAATCTAGTAGTCAACGATAAATCAATAATCCTGTTATGTGTTAAAATATTTTTTTTTCTAATTTCCGTATAAAACAATTTTTAACGCATGGAAGTTTAATCTTATTTTATTTTATTAACAATAATTTATTGAACATTTTTTTAATAGAAAATTAAACGTATAATTTAAAAATTACAACTTTATTTTATAATTCAAAAGTAACAAAAACTGTTCTAACTTTGTGTCTATAGAATTCGATGTGAGACATTTGAAAGGTACGTTATTCAAAATAAATAATATTTAAGTTATCTTCACAAGTCTAATAATAAATACGTATTGTGTTCATTAAATTGTATTATGTTATCTAAATACAAGGTATACTGAGTAATAAATTAAGAGTTCCATGAAACATTTCATTAGTGTAGATTTTATTATTCAAATGATTTTAAATAATTACTTAAATGATAAACAAAAACATAGACTTCCACATACCAATTGATGACCAACGTGAAAATTATGGAGTAGAGCGCTTATGAGCTAACGGCTAATATTATATAAAAATAATTCACGTGACATCCAGAGGAACACATAAGCTATTCAAATGATAGGCAAACATTGTGCTGTGCCATTGTCTTCAACTGTTAGTCGCATAGCATTGCGACATTGACCGTCGACAAAAGACAACTGGACTATACTGTGGCCAATTACGAAGGTGATCATAAAAATCGTATACGCCTTCTGAATTGCTGATACTGTTTATGCTCCAACTTTTGAAATTTGCCTTCGATATCAAATTGCTCACTGTCATTGCACTCCTCTTGATTCTCCTGGTACTGTTTATTGAGTTTTATTCGAGTAGTCTACACAGTGCTGCAATAACTAAAAATATGATTAATAGTAGTAGTGTTAATAACATTATAAATACAAGTTTGTTTTCTAATAATCACTTCATAATTGTAGTTAGTGTATTAAAATTTCTCTTGTCTGAAATATTTTGATCAGTAGCAAACCTTAAAGAAGATGAAAGTTAGCTCTTTCGTGTTGGTAGTTATTAAACTAATATTAAAATCATTAAAGATATTTAAAATGAATTATCACGTTTATTAAAAGCGTTGTATTAGATATTTTGATAAAAACGTATTTTAGGTTATGAATTAAAACTGTTAATGAGTTAACTGTCAACGACAGTGTAGTGACAAATATAGGTACTATTAGTATAGGGTGCTTATTAGTTATAATAGTGTTATGTTATGTAGTATTTATTCTTATATTCTTTTTAGTCTCCAATATATATTCCAAGTAGTTGGGATAAAGGCGAGGCTTTATCTTAGAACTACTTGGAATCGGCCACCCTTTTCCTAAACTTCTGTCTGACACGATCTCCTACATCATCTACGCATTCGACAACCGTCCTCATATCGGATTCAATAACATCCCTCCAACTCTAGTGTTATAGTATTTATTCTTATTATTTATAATATTGCTTCCATTAATTTAAAACAATTAAGAAATTAAAATTTTATATATGCAAACAGAGTACAATTATTTTTTAATTGAAATCTTTATCGTTTTTCCTGTGGTCTTTCCAAAGTGTGATTGAATATTAAAAAGTGTTATGAAAATTAAGACTGTTAAAAAACCAAATCCTATATTGTGTTCTTCTAGCAAGTTGATGAGATTTGATATTTACCAAGAGCTCTTGTATAGTTTTGTTTAATTTTTTTTTTTTATACTACTTTGGCTTGAACCTCTCTTTTCACTCGATACTCATGAGTGGGTTTAGCTCAAAACAACGAGAGCTGATCTTCCCTTTGTTTTTAGGTAGTTTGAAATTACTGAATTTTTGATTATCATGATCAGAATGGGTTTTTTGTAGACAGAATAGTATACGACATATTCGAGCTATGATGTGTATACTCTAGGAATTGATCGAATTAATTTTACCCTTGATAGGTTTTTATATTAAATGTAGTGTTGATGGAAGACTTGTTTAGATGATTGTATGTGATTTTTATTTTAAATTTATATGTTTAAAATTAAATAGTTTAACAAATATCGTGCAATTTATATATTTTTAATTATTATTATTAACCTAATTTAATATAACTGAGTTAAGTTTACTAACTTATTAACTTATTTAAAAAATACACATTATTAAATTATTATCTTTTCATATATAAACATATATTCTATCTTAATTTAAAATAAATGATAATTTTTGTTCTTTACTGCGTATAAGTTTTTGATTATATATTTATAACATTTTTTGTACTATAATAGATTATTTATTCAATATATGTATTTTGAACTTATAAAATATTTAAATTAATATCGTATAGAAATATTAATTACAAACAAACTTAACTATATTTATATAGTTAACAGATTATTCACTGATGTACCATGAAGCATATAAATATTTATGACCAGGGCTCGGGACTTATAGCACTTGCTAGAAAATGCTTTTTTTAAACTGTTTTTATGATTTTTTCAAAAAACGCTTATTTTTAGTTTTTTCTGATTTTGCCGATAATTTAAGAAAAAACAAATGTTTGTTTCTTGTTTTTTCTGTTTTCGTACTTTAAAATATTTTCTTTATGACGCAGCCTACCCAGGTTTTTTTTATCGGTTTTTGATAGATCTAATAAGGAAAATAATTCAATTGCCTTCCTTGTTTGTAGGGTTTTGTCTTTGTTATCTTATCTATTTGATAGCCAACGCCGTCCTCGGCATCGTTAACTTCTTTAGCTATGGTTGAAGTGTCATACTAGTGTGGTACTTAGTTGATTTCCTCTTCATAATGGATTTCTCGGTAAACAATATTTTTAGACCGTTATAGCATACTGGGATATCAAATTTATATTTAATTTTTTAATTAATTTTAATTAATTTTTTTAAAACAAGATATTATTTAACATTTCTTGTCAATCAACTTGAAAGTCGAAGTCAGACATCATTTTGATTCTTTCAGAATTAATTATTTGTATATTTTTTTTTTGTATTTTTAATTTTAATTTATAATTAAAAAAAATAATTAATTAAATACCCGTATTTTTTTTAATGAAATAATTTTAGTGGTATTTAATCCTAAGGTCCTAAAAAAGTATATTCAGCACAGTTACAAATATTTAGTACTTTNTTTTGAAAGGTTTAATTACGTTGTTATAGTATGTATACATAGTTATGCTAACGCTTAAATATATTTAGATATTTATGATGATTAACAATTAAGAAAAAATAGTAAAAAATTTATTTTAGTATTAATGCAAAATACTAATAATAGTAAAAATAATTATTATATCTACATAAAAGCATAATTAACAATGTTATAAAGTAATAAGAAAATTCCATTATTAATTATTTAGATAATTTTTATTTTTTGAGTCTCTGAATTAGTTAAACAAGGATATTAACCCATTATTGTTTGTATCTGAATTGATAATACGCACAGAGTAAATTAACAATCTTGGGGAACGTTAATTTTTTATTAAGGTGTTAAATAGTTTTGAATATTAAGTATTTTCAAATTTTTTATTTATAAGATTCATTTTAGTTATATATATTATAATTATAGATTTAATATAGATAGTATTATTTTTGCTATTAATCAATTTGGAATTCTACATTATATATATTAAATTATTTATCTATATTTGTATGACTATGTATATTTGTGTTAATCCTTTTACACTTTTTTTATTTTTCTCTATAGAGTTATCATTGAATGCAACTTTTATAGTTTTCGTAAGTATGTAATTAGTATTAATTTCAATTTCACTATTCAACATATTATATTTAATAATTAATTTATATAAATTAGTAGATTTAATATTAATTCTGTCACTTTTAAAAACTCTAAAATGTTAAAAATTTACAATTATTTTTATTTAAATATATTCTTAAATATTGTAATATTATAATAATATGTTCTTAAGTAATTATATAATTTATTTGCATAAGGTATTATACACTTTATCTTATAGTATAAAATAATAAATTAAATTAAATATAACATTAAATATTTAGTAATATTTTTTTTTATACTCATTAATTTAATTTAATTGATCTATAATTTTTTTTATAATCTATAATTGTCCTCTTCTAATCTTCCTTACTAATACTATATCACTTATTTGAAAATTTGTTTGTCTTTACGTCTCTTTATATATCTTTTTGAGTTTCCTGACTACGTTCAAATATGTCTTTTTCATTTTTATTTTCATTACTTTTTTGTCTTATTTTTGAACTGTTTCAAAATTAAATCAAATTAACCAATTAATTTTCTAATAATTTATAATTTTGCTAGACTATCCCAGTAGTGCATGGATATTGTTTCTATAATTTAGTAAAAATATAATACAAAAATCTAGAATAATATTTTTATTACTATTTAAAAATTTTTAGCATCATTGCGAAGCTGAGAAGGTATTAATTTTACCATCATGTGTTTTTTATTTGTGTGTCTGTTGCCACTTTTTCTCAGCTCTCACTAAGAACAATTTATAATGATAAATTAAAAGATCACAAATCGTATCTAGTTGAAGACCATTAAAAAGACCCTTAAAAATTAAAAAAAAATATCCTTCGTTCCCGTAAATGGGAGAAATCTCAAAAAAAATTACAATTTTTAAAATCGGTAAATTTCGACATTTTTTAAACTTTTTTTTCTAAAATTTGCCATAACTTTTTGAAAAATTAACAATTTAAATAATTTTTTTTTGATATTGTACCTTAGATGTTTTTCTTTCATTTGGTATACATTTTTTGAAAATCTGACCCTTTAACGGGGAACAGGGGGGGATTTAAAATAGCAACTTCTTCACAAAAATTTTACTTTTTCAACTTAAGTTTTGAAAATTTTTCTGATATACTGCGAGCTTTTAACATATGTTAAAATAAAGATAATTTTATGCACTATAAGTAAAATAACATTTTTCCCGACACCTTTTCTTCTATTTACAAATGGTTGTCGTAGTTAAAAAAACATGCAATTTTGGTGTTGCAATTTATGATTTCAGATTTTATTTTTCTAACTTTAAATTACAATAACTTTTTGAAAAACGTATGGATCAACAGATATATTTTTCACAAATACTTTATGTTTACTTCTTTCATTTAATATACTTTTTTTGCCAATCTGACTTTTGACCTGACCACAGGAGGAATCAAAATAACAGTTTTTACATACAAGTTAAACTTTTTCAACTCAATTTTTGAAAATTTTCCGGAAATATTGACATTTTTATTTTATCTTAAATTAAAGCTTATATAATATACTATACTATGAAAAATAAAATTTCGAGATATAGTGAACATGGTTTAATTCATGGTAAATATGGTAAAAATATGCTATTTTTGTGTTAAAATTCTTGGTATTCTATTTTCATTTATTTTAATATTCCTCATAATGGGGTACATTGATATTCATGAATATTATATAAAACTAATTGAAATAGAATATAAAGTTTATTTTTTTCAATTTTTTTTTCTTTAAAGTCGAAAAAGTTAATCTTAACATTTAAATCAGCTTAAATTGCTAATTTTATCAAAAACTAATGCAACGAACGTTTTCCGATTCAGTAAAAATCATGGCCTGTGGCAATGATTTTTTATTTAATTTTTTTTGAGTTAGAATTTTGTTTTTGAATTATCCACCAATTTCTTAAAATTAAACACTATCTACAGATTTGCATCGAAGCGTTTATTATGATATTGATTTTAATCACTGTTAGATATCATCTATACTAGTCCCAACTATGCCACGATTACACTGTGCTACCGTATTTTTAATTTTATCTTTAAAAATGCTAACCGTATTCTATAGTCCCAATTTTCTGAGGATGATAGATAGGCATCAAAATATGGTAAACATAATTATTTTTTGTAAATTTATGAAATTCCTCAGAAGCTAACTACCAGCGACTAAAAATTTACAAATACCATATCAAGTAAAAGACTCTAAATATATTTATAATGTTTAATAAAGAAGTACTATAAAATTGAAGACATTTTTATTACCTTTATGGCCATCTAGAAAATTCATCAACATTTACAATGAACAAAATAAATATATAAAATTCATCGTAATTTTACCAATATAATGGTAAAAATGCTATAAAAAATAATACAATACATTTGAAACTGGTCACAAGTATAAAATATAGCCCACCATACCAGTTTCGTTAATAAATTTATTAAAGCGCTACACAAAAGTAACCAGACTTTTTAAATAAAAGTGGTTTATTTTTTAAATTTTACATTTTAATGATTATCAATTTCAAAGTAGTTACCCTCAGCAACTACACACTGTTTCATACGTCGCTGTCATCCACAAAAACAGTGCTGCCAATCGCTTTGAGGAAGCCCTTTTAAAAATTTTGTCATATTCATTTTTACATCATCAATCATTTGAAAATTGGTTCATTTTAATTAACTTTTAATTTTCGGAACTAATAAGTTACAAGGAGCCAAGTCTGGTGAATAGGAAGTGTTGAAGTATAAAAATATTTTTTCAGTCATAAATCATTGAATTGAAAATGCATTTAAGTTGTAGCATTGTCTTGGTGAAGAAACCAGTCGTTCTTCCTCAGTATGGTCTCTTTTTTTTAACAACGTTCTGTCAATTTAATTAATACCTCTTTATAAAAATATTGGTTTACTTTCTGTCCACTAGAAATCCATTCAACCAAAATTATTCCCTTAATGTCAAACAAAACCATGAGCCTTACTTTGAATTTTAACTTACTCATTCTTTCTTTATTCTTGAGAAAGTTGGCGTTTTCCAATGCATGGATTGCCTATCCGTTTCTGGATCGTATGTTAAAATATGTTTAGTTACACGTAATAACATTATCTAAAAAGACGGTTCGTCTTTTAAAATTTTTAAATTATCTGAATAAATCTCTTTACGTTTAATTTACAAATTTACTTCATTGTAACTAAGTCGTTTACTCACATCTTGCAAATTATGTTCATTGATTATTTATTCATTTATTTGGCTTTTTATATTAATTAAATTAATATTAATGTATTTTTAATTTTAATAATTATGCAATATAAAAATTGATGATGTAACGTTGTTTAAGTTCTTTAATAATTAAAATTAGTGTGAATATATTATTTTTCTTTTTTTTTAAAGTTAAAACGAATATGTTCAAAAAAAATCTAACCCTTTTGGATAAATGTATTTTACTTACAATATATGTACAAAAGGAAAGTAAATGTCAAATTCCAAATTGATTTTACATATTTTTTGTATAAAAATAAAAAAAAAGTGCTATTTTATCCTGATATTATTATGTTTTAAATGGGTTAGTTAAAATGAATTTTATATAACACAAATTTTAGCACTGATCAGTTCGCATTGTGATAAAATCATTTTAAAAGTCTTAATACAAACAACCAATGTATAATAATCATACTTAATTATTTTATTGAATCGTATAAAGTGCCAAAACGTTCTGTAAAATAAAAGTATTTTAAGTATCTTTTGTTCTAATTAATTTTCATTTTTAATTTAAGTGAGTGTATACTACATACACTCTTATATAAAAAATAAAAATGTCTATATTTTTAGTCCATTTTTTTACTCATTCGAAAAAATGTTAGGGGTATCTTGAAGTTTTATATTAGATTGATGTGTTGATTTTTTTTACAAAAGGTAACCAGTCTAGTTGGCTTGGAAAAAAATACATTTTTTGTATAGTCTTAGTAAAAAAATTGTAAAGTCTCTAACGATATTATAGAGGAACGTAGATTCTTAAATTTAAATTTTGCATTTGGAGATAAAACGCTACTAGTAATTCTCGCTAATAGTAATGTGAAAAGTTACGATAATATTAACAAGAAAAAAGTTTATAATACCTAATAAGGTAAAAAAAATATATAACGTTTAAATATTGCAAAACTGAAAACATTATAAATCAATAACTTTTAATCATTTAAAAATAACGCAATAATATTGTAAACGTAATAATAACATTATATTTTTGATTCAAGCCCTGATTAAGTCAGGATGTATCCAGAGCCCCAGTGAGTACTGTAAATGTACAAAAAAGGTGAAATACTGGTTTCAAAACTAGTAAAAACACTAAAAATAATAGTACACTTTAAAAATAGGTAGATGAATTCAGTATTTCTCAAAATCAATGACAAATAGCAGCACATCCTAACTAGCATAAAAGAATTAGTACATTTCAATCAATATGTCTTCCCATTAATACTAGGGCTCCTTGGTTTGTAACTAATAATCAACTTCACAGTGAAGTAAATATTAAAACTGTAAGTGAACTTGCTACACAATCTTCTTCAGATACCATTGTAAACTATTAAATCATCCTAATAATTTAATAGTCCAACTTAGCACTTAAATAATTCCTAACAACCCAACGCGACGTCTTAAACATACCTGGTATAGAGATCTATTACCAAGCAACTAAAGGAACAAATAAAAATAACATCTTACATTTATACAATTTTAACTAGATATGTAAGTACTTTACTTTTATTGTAAGGAGTTTTAATGTGAACTACCCATTCATTCTATTCATGTAATCAATTAATATAATAAATTTACTTATTGTATAGATTATAATATATATAATATATGAAGTGAATGAAAAAATTATTAATATACTAAAGAAAAATTTTCAAATTCCTCTCTTAAATATTCTAAAAATATTACTTAATATCCATTTTAAAAATCTATTTCTTTTGCAATAGTACTGGTTATTAAGTTTTACAGTCGTTTTCTTCATGTTAACCGATAGCTAGGGAAAGATGTCAAAAATGACAATTTCCAGGAAAACTCATATTTTGTTATTTAGAAGATTAAAGATAAGATTGAAAAAAATTTAGGGGTAGACTAGATATATAAATAATTCTTATATAAATTTCAGGTTTAAAATACGCAAAAGTCAGGAATAATTGTAGCGACTTAACCTCACCATCCTTAACCACCTATATTTCATTTTCAATTTGTATAAATACTTTGGAGTAAATTACCAATTAAAGACAATAAATAAACCAAAATTTGATAAAGTTTATTGAATAATAACTTAAAATAATTATATATCGAAAAGAATTTTCGATAATTGAGCTGATGGACCAAAAACAAAAATTTGGCTATTTCTTTCAACCTCAATATACACCTAAGTGATAAATAATGAAAACATAATTATCAAACCAATATAATATGAACTTTGCATCACAGTTTATATATTTCATAATACATAAATATATGTGTTTGATTTTAACCGAATATCACAAAAATAATCTGGTACAAAAATAATTTAAATAAAATATAATATACACAAACTCAATTAAATATCAACGTTATAGTTATAAATTAACAGCGCAGCTATGGTTCATTCTGTATTCAATGTACAAAATGCCAGTGTTGTGCCAATAGTACAAGATGTATACGACTAGAAAATGCCACCATTGGTGAGAAGATCCAAAGTAATTCACTTTGCCTAAAAAAAAAAAGAATTAAAACAAATTTATCTTTTGATAAAATATAAAACATTTCTAGTCGAGAGTTGTGAAATGAATAGTAAGATAATGTACTTGTGATTATTGTTAACAAAAGAGTGAATTTAATTAGCACGTTACATTAATATTTATAGCTAAATAGAAAATTTATTCTACAGAATACATGTTCAAATTATTAACACTTTTGTCTTATATAGGCCAAACATATTGCAATACATAATAATTATTTTGTATCGTAAAAAAAACAATTAAAACAGTTAAATAGTTCACTTAAAATCTAAAATTAAGTTTCAAATAATTACCTTTAAAAAATCTTTCTGGTACTTTAGTAGCATATATAAAAAATGCCAAAGCACTGAAAAAATATATGTAGAAAATTCTCGGCAACAATTTCTGAAAGTAGCATTTTTTGTGGATTAATATATTATTTAGAGTATAAGATACCTATTAAAAGCTTACTATATATTAAATTTAGCAGATTTTATTAAAAACTTATTTTTTAGCTTCGATGCGAAGCTGAGAAGGTATTGGTTTTACTATGATGTTTTTTTTTTGTGTCTCACTTTTTCTCAGCTCTCACTGAACCGATTTCTTTTAACGATATGTTAAAAGACCACAAATTGTATCTAGTCGAAGATATTACCCTCAAAAATAGAAAAAAATTCCCTCGTTTCCCGTAAATGGGGGAAATCTCCTAAAAATTACAAATTTAAAAATCGTTTATTTTCGACATTTTTTTTTATAGATGCATGATGTCTTTATCTATCATTTGGTATATTTTTTTTTTATAAATATGACCCTTTACCTGCGCGCAGAGGNTTATAAGAATTGTTATTTTGTTCGTATTAATAAAACATTATCATAAACCCTTGATAAATTTTCTCTATCAAAATTGATTGAGGTTTTTCTTTGGGTGTAGTCGAAGATATTACCCTCAAAAATAGAAAAAAATTCCCTCGTTTCCCGTAAATGGGGTAAATCTCCTAAATATTACAAATTTAAAAATCGCTTATTTTCGAAATTTTTAAAATTTTTTTTTATAGATGCATGATGTCTTTACCTATTATTTGGTATATTTTTTTTTATAAATATGACTCTTTACCTGCGCACAGAGAGGGAATCAAAATGACAACTTTTTCATCTTAACTTTTGAAAGTGTTTCGGAAACTCAGACACTTTTATATATATCTTAAATTAAAGATAATGTAAAATACTTTACTATGAAAAAAAAATTTCGGATTTTATTTTGTCGTCAATGTAAAAATAGTTACCGAATGCCATTTTTGTGTGAAAATTCTCGATTTCATTTTTTACATTTTTAACCAAAATTCTCAAAAAAACAAAAAAAAAATTTCACATATTTTTTTTTCATACGTTAAGTTGGCCTAAATTTCACCCTATTTAAGGATCATTGTACTCTTTCCTTACATCTAGATAATTTAGATAACTAGATACTTATACAAGAAAAAAACATGCAAAATACAATATATATTCTATAACTATAAAAATGTATGGTTTTTTTTTATTTGGTTAAATAATGTGAACAATATTTTTTATGAAAAAAAGATATTATTTTATTAGAAATGTTATCATACTTACAGAAACTAACGGATTTTCCCAACCTCCCATTATTAGGAACCAATGGAATGATGGTATGACTCCATATGCTGCCCATGCTACAAATGAAACCATTTTCATAGTATCACTAACTTCAAGTTTTGGTATTTGCATAATCATACAAGCAACAAAAATGAAAAATACGGTAGCCAGATAAAATGTTTGGATCGTCTAAAACACAAAATAATAATCAACAACTTCCAATTTAAAACATAAAAATTAATATGGTTAACTTACAGAATGACACCAAAATGCATAGTAAATTCCTGATAAGTAAATGGCCAATAAACTCATTGCAATGCCGAACAAATCAAATGATAAAAAACAATGAAAATGTTTCTCAGACTTACATCCAAATGTGTGATAAATCGAAGACATTATCATACAAATCTATAATATANCAAATGTGTGATAAATCGAAGACATTATCATACAAATCTAAAATATAATAACAAATAAATATATAATTTAGAATTGTTCACTTGTGGCTAATATTATTTAAAACATTTATATAAAACTAAAAAATATTAAAAATAATTAACTCAAAAATTCACATGAAATACTAAAAAATGACGTATAAGTATTTCGGGAACGATATTACTAACATTAACACAAAAGACATACTGACCGAAAAACACCATTCTATACCCCTAGTGACGTTATGACTTAGTGATGTTATCACCAAGTGAATTTTTCACATTTCAACAGTTAACACAAGAATAATAATGAATTTTGCAATAACTAAATTAGTACTATAAAACTAATTAAAAACGTAAATAATTACAAAGAACTTAATATAAAGGAAGTGAAGGGAATGTTTAAAAATAAGAATAATTTAATTGATTGGGTTCAAAGCCCAGTGCAAAATTTGTTATAAAAACTTCTGTAAAAAATCAGAATGTCACAAACAATTACGAACCTCACTAGGTTAAAACGACATTAGGTGATTAGGTCACTAGGGTTATATCAGTGTTGGGTTAACGAACGTCACTCGTTATTCTAGCGAAGTTACTTTTTAAGAAATGTCTTAGTAGTTTAATTATTTTTTTTATATACAATAACATATTTTTAAAGAAGTTACAATTATCAGAGTAAGGGATTGAGTAATTCGTTATTTATTAAAACGCTTATTTAAATCTGTAGGATTATACTAACAAATTTCATTTAAGGGAATAACTTGAGCGTTTGTCCCAGTCTACATTTTATGAGGAATAGATCGTAAGCGTAGCTTTGTGAAACAATAGACCGATCTAAAGTTTGCCCCGTCTAGTATAATCTGAACTGACGCCCCTGTTTACACTCACGACACTTTTTTGTGCTAAAAACAATATTATAGTAATATCAGAAAATAATTTTGTTGTTGAATCCGAATTTTGAATTTCAAGATTGATTTTAGTTTTCGAGATAGGCGCTAATTAGTCATCTAACGAATTACTCAAACAATTTTTTTACCGAAAAATTTCATTTAGAACCCAAATTGGATACATTTAACAAATACAATAATTTGAGATCTCAAGTTTAACCTACTAAACTTGGCCTTCGATTTTGATTTAAACAACATTTTACAAATATCAAAATTGAACTTTTTCCTATAACTTTTACTTTGACTTATAATTTTAATTTTTTAAGGCTGATAGGAATTTTATAAGAATTTAAAAAATTGTAAATTTTATGTTTTTAGCATAACTTATATAATTGTGGTTAATAGTAAAAAAATGCGAAAAGTTTAAAATTCCGCTATAATTACAATACTTTTGTGAAAAATTCTCTTTAATTTTAAAATTAAATGATGTGACCTATCCTAAATAATTATTGGCCCTAAAAAAATGGTTTAATTAGATTTCGTGTATTATTATAAAAAAATGTGATTCGAATTTGAACGTGTAGGCATTCTAGCATCGTCTTGAAAAGATAAATGGTGGTCGAGGTTGTAAACACATCCTTCCTTCCCTGGAAACGATTAGCAATGTTTACACTTTTTAGCGATCAACAGTAAAAAATTATTGATGGTCTTTTCTTTTATTCCTTAATATTTTAATGTTTAGCAATGGATGCGAAACATTTTTATTAAGAAAAAAAAAAGTCATTAAAAAATGTTTTAAATAGTAATCACTCTCCAAAATTATTTCAATAACTATTTTATAATGTATTCTTTTTTATATTTAAAATAAACGTAACTTATTACTTATCTAAGTAATTAACGAAAAAGTAAATTTAATATATTATCGTTTTATGACTAGTATATTGAGTTAATTTGCTAAAAATAATTTTTCAAACGCTAGGCTATGTAAGGCAGTATTTTTTAATCAGGGTATCAATATGTGTTTAACGCTGATAGTTACATTATCCCGAAATACGTCTATGCCATTTTTTAATATTTTTTGTGGCCTTTTTACTAAAATTTTTTTATTTTTAATATATTTTTAATTTTAAATGAAGTAGATAATGACTTTAAAATTGTACTTATATAAAAAAAGTATTAATAATTAAAAACTTTCATTGATTAAAATTGGATGGGGCACATAATTTTTTTCTGAGGGACTTATTTATATTTTATATATTTAACTATATTCAAACATTTATATTATTATTTTTACCTGAAAACATCCTAGAAGAAGTACCACAACGAGTCTGTCAAATTGAGAAGCTCGAATATCCACTATCATAAGATCATAAATAGTTAAGCCAAAAAACAACATCCAGCCAAACAAATGAGACCATATATTGATAGTTTCATTCGTTAGCCAAAATATACTGAAATAAAAATATTATATTGCTTTATTTAACTCAATTAAACATTGACATTCCAAATATTTTTCAATAGTATTTTTTAAAGTGATTATAACATTTTATAAATAAAATGATGGTTAAACTCATGAAATAAAGAGTACTTCATCTTTTTAAACTTTTCTAGTTAGACATCCTGAAAGGCTGAAGAATTTTTTCAAATTTTTATATTAAATACTATATTTTGCTTAAAATCTCTCTAAGAATAATATTTAAAATTTCAAAAAATAGGTAGACAGAAAACTTTATAGCAAATTGTGCCCCTCGAACTTCCTACCTATATAGATTATATAAATACACTCATATGACACAATTGACATTGGGTATAAATTGTATATATTTTCTAAGATAAATACCTCTTAAACTCTCATCAAAGTAAAATAAATGAAATATTTAATTATTTAAATTTTCAAATATACAAACTAATTTAAGAGCCTAATTCAATGCGGTCAAATTAAAGTGTTATTGAAATACAGAAAAAAAAACGATAGCACAGTGGGGTCGCGGCACAATATTGATGTGAAATAGTTGGGACAAGTATAGTTGATATCTGACAGTGATTAAAATCACTATCATAAGAAACGCTTCGATGCAAATCTGTAGATTGTATTTAATTTTAAGAAATTGGTGCATAATTATAAAAGCAATATCAACTCATATTTCCTTAATTATATCCTAATAAGTAGTCCTTGGATTCAAAAGTATAAAATATGAATATTATATCAATTAAAAATAGTGTAAAATTGATATTTAATAATTTTGTATTGTAGTTTTTACGGAGAAATTGTAAAAAATTATAAAGTAATATATTTTGTTACTTCTATGACAAACATGTATAAAAATTAAAGAGCTTGATGCAATACTTTAAAAAAAAAAATTTATTTTTACTTATGAATAAATACACAAAACTACAAGGAACTTTCATCAGAATCAAAAATATACTTTTTGAATCAACTTTTCGCACTGTTTTCAAATCTTCAATTATACTTTTCCTAAACACTTCTAATTTTTGATATTAATACTATTTAGTAAAACATAATTAAAAAAAAAAAATTGTGTTTCAAATTATTACTGATTGTGATTTTTAATATGTTAAAAACACAATCAGTGCAAAATGACATTTTTAACCTATTTTTCGGTCTTCTAAAGTTTATTTTTGTGAAAGTTTATAAAAAAAAGTTAAATTTGTTACCATAACTTTTAGCTCAACTTGCAAGTTTGAAATTGACATAATATAAGTAATTGATCACTTAAATAGAAATCATAGTAATCATTTTGAAGTAACTTTTGGTTTTTTAAAAGATTCTACAATTGAAATATGCAGAACTGAATTAATTTTAATGATTTACTTTAACTAAAAAAAACAATAAAAATATTGTTAAAATAATCTACACAATTGAGTGTTTTATAAAATTTGATTATAATTGCAAAATCCATAGTTAAATTCAGATGAAACTAAAAATCATTTTTTTTAAAAATGATTTATATAGCAGCATGTTACCAATAAATGTGAAATATTAATGACTGGTTGGTCATCTACAAGGTAAAATTATTTAATTTTGTAGTTGAAACCTATTGTGATATCAAACGTAATTCGAAAGTAAATACTTTTAAAATATTATAAATGAATGATTATAATTGTCTGTATGAAGAACATAGGATAAGTAACTGTCCTAATTGATAAATTATAACTTTTTTCAATTTTTGAGAATAATATCTTCAACTAGATACAAATTGTAATAATTAGACATATCGTTGAAAAATCGTTCCAGTGAGAGCTGAGAAAAAATAGTGAAGGACAGAAAAATAAAACAATAAACACATCATGGTAAAATTAATACCTTGTCAGCTCCGTATCGAAGCTAATATCATAAATATTACTGATACAGATATAAAATTTTAAATAAAAATTAATTACCAAATAAGCAAAGGAACCCAAAAATATTTTCTGTTATCTGACAGATTTACAGGTTAAAAGATTTTGGATTCTCTGTTAATATTTAAGTTTAATAATCCTACTATAAATTCTACAATATAAATAACACCTTAATAACAGTTTTACTAAAAAATTTTTACATTTAACATTTTCGTAAAATCATGTATAAAACNCTAAAAAAATTTTATATTTAATATTTTCGTAAAATAATGTATAAAACATACAATGTTACTTAATCACAATATTTTGAAGGTGAAGGTACTCGTAAAACATTTATGTGAAAATTATAAGGTTAACTCTTAGGTATTTTCAGCACCTACGTCTGTATATACTTCCTGAAATTATTTCGAATAATTTAGCTGTCTAGATTTCTATTAAACAATTAATAAGTTTTTACTCATATTTTAATTCTATTCTAATAATTAACCTTGCAACTAAAGTAAATTTACTTTGTATAAATTATTGTTAGAATGATTACAATGTTTTTGATGATAATTTTTTATTGAAATAATATTATACTTTTACTTTTAATTTCTTTATTGATTATTATATTATAATATTATATTATAATAATCAATATACAGAAATTAAAAGTTCTTCATATCATTAAGAGAAAGTCGGATAAGTTGATAAACCATAAACCCAATAAATTCTCTCAAATAACTAAATTAAATCTTAAATAAAAAAAAAATTTAATTTTTTGGAATTTAATTTTTTTATTTAATTAATTGGAAAAATTTTATAAATAGAGTATCTCAGATCTAACTCATAACGAATCATAATTTTTAATCAAATTATTATTTCATTGATAATTCTTTTAAACAATAATTATTTAAACAAAGGCAATATTTATTTTTGTCTGAAACAACGTAAAAAATATATTTTTTATTATTTATCTCTATTTAAGAAATTTTAATTTTATAACTTTAAAATAGCCTTTAATAAGTCCTTATCAGTTACAAATGTTTTAATGCATAGTATGTAGCGCGGGTGGCTACTGACTAGATTATCCTTCAAAATCAACGCGGTTTTTTGATTACACTACGTCTAAATTTATGACAATTACTAAAGGAATGTGCTAAGCAAAATTTGAAATCAGTATAATGAAATTAATCCGTGCTCTATGATACTGAAATTCATAAAATAGTCATTTTTAATTGCTGAATTCAACGAGTAATAGTTTTTTCTGTTATAATACAAAACTACAATGATAAAAACACAAAAGGATTATTTTTCAATTGAGAGATTTTAAATTAGAGGACCATAAACAATAAATTCAAATGATTCTCGTTAAATAATAAATACTAAAATTCTTAATTTAACATTAATCATCCGGAAAATATTTCAGTTTCATCAAATTATCGCATTTGAGAATGTATTAATTTTATTATGATATATCTTTTTTAAATTATTCTTTTATTCTTGTGTGTGTTTCTGTTACCACTTTTTCTCAGCTTTCATAGAACCGATTTATTTAAACGATACGTCAAAAGATTNTCTCAGCTTTCATAGAACCGATTTATTTAAACGATACGTCAAAAGATTACAAATCGTATCTAGTCAAAGATATTATCCTCAATTTTTGAGGGTTGGGTTAAAATTAGAGGTCGCGATTGTGAACGGGTATTAGAATACACGGAGCCCAGGTACACGGGCAAAACATATATTAAAGCCCGTGTATTTAATACCCATGCATACATTGTATATATATACATATTATATTAAATATATGAGTATTTAAGGTCACGGGTATTTAAATGGCCGGGTATACACGGATATTTTTACTACACTGGCTTTAACCCCGTCATAGATAAAAACACGGCTACCCGTGAAGTTCATTATACGTGTAATCGCGACCTCTAGTTAAAATTGTAATTGTAATTGTATTTTTTTGAACTTTCTTTACTTAAAATTTATATTGCTATAACTTTTTGAAAAGTATATGGATCAATAGAGTTTTTTATTATACATATATTATATATTTTTTTTTCAGCCAACATCCATTTTTTTAATTAGACAATTTCCCTTTATATAAGGTAGTCAAAACTTAAAGAACACATCTGCCGTGCTAAGCGAAAACAGGATAATTCCAGTCAACATGATTTTTCAGGAACACAAAAAAACATTTTTAATAGTAAATCAAGATACCCTTTTTTCCCAATGTATGAACATAAGTCAAAAGATGGTAACTCCATTATTTTTTATGTGATATACCAAGTTTTTGCTTAGTATTTGGATTTACCGTGTTTTCGCTTATAAAACATCAAATATATTGAACTAACCGTATATTTTCTTATTTTATATTTCAATTTTAGATAGGTTTTAATAGAAAATATGCTACTTTTACATCAAAAATCGGTGTAAAACCACTAAATTTACCTATAGAAACAAAAAAAATTTTTTTTTTAATTTTGGAGTTATCCTGTTTTTGCTTATCACGGCAGACATATAGAAAGTAGAACTTTTCAACTTAACTTTTGAATATGTTTCGGAAATATTGACACTTTTATATCTTATATTAAAGTTCAATATGTAATTTTAATATGAAAAAAAAATATTATTCCCCACGACTTATTAACCTTATCAAAAAAAAGAGGTGTTAGAAAAAATCTAATTGCACATTTGAAATCGACATTAAAATTATACTTATAAATTCAAGACTACTAATTTCAACTACTAATCAGTATATAATTGAAGAAATAGTATTTGATGTTGCTTTTGGAATAATTCACCAAATTTTTACAATCAAACAACAAATCTACAGATTTGCATCGAAGCTTTTCTTATGATATTGATTTTAAACACTGTCAGATATCATCTATACTTGTCCCAACTATGCCACGTTTACACAGTTCTGCGACCCCACTGTGCTACAGTTTTTTTAATTGGACTATCACAATAAATTTATCATGTTTAAAAATTGAATAATTAGTAGTCACTTATTATAATATATGCTATTCTCACCTTTCTATACACTTTTTAGTTGATAATTTATTTCTGTAACCTGAGGTAATATACGGATTTGATTGTAAGTATGGTTCCACTTCATGGTATTCTAATAGTGAATACGTTTTAATACAGTTCGATTGGGAGTCTTGAGTTTTCTTTGACAGTTCTCGTTCCTAAAAACCCAAAACTAATCATTAGTAATTCAATACTTGGTATTTATGACAAATAAGTATTATATTATATAAAACTTATTATTAGTTATTTAAATGCTGTGTATAAATGTTTATCATTTCAATAACAATCATTAATTATTCTAAATAAAATGTATATATTTTTGTTAAGAACGCATCATGGGTTAATAAATATTCAATATATTCTCGATATTTACTTAATGGTAATATTTATTAATGTTAATGACTACTGAATTATAATAACAATAACGAGATAAATTCCATTATCACATACCTGTTACTGATTATCACAATTACAATTAAAGAATTTTATGTTATTTTAACCTCAAAAAATTGTTTTTCAACTCTATAAAATCTTTAATAATAATACATTTTATTTTGGCTTATCATTTAGTAAAAATAATTTTAAAAAAAATCAACACAAAAATATTTAAACCATAAAAATAAAAATACATGATTATATTTTAAACCATATATTTTAATTTTTATTGTTCATTATATTGGGAATCATTATTCTGAAGAAGTTAGAGGTATTAAAATACGTATTTGAAATTATTTAAGTTATTACTGAAATACTTTATTATTTAACGAATTATTAATCTGATAATTTTTCAATGGTCTGTTGAAAAATATTGTTATTAATGAATAATTTGTTTATATAAACTTATAGGAGCCTTAAACTATGTTCGACATTTGAATGGAGGTTTGGATAGTCAACTTAATGAAAAATAAAATTAGCCAACCTCCATAAAAAGAGTATTATCTCAAAAGAGTATCAGGAGAAATATTTTTAATATACTTAAAAACATTTCTTAGGAAGAAATTAAATTTTTTTAGCTCTCCAAAATTGATTTTCAATCTTCACCTACTCTTATAACTTTCTGATTTTTTTAAGCTTAAATTTTGATTGGTGATGCTGCAAATAACTACGTATATTTTATCTTACATTCAATCTGATGTACATGCAACAATTTATTTCATAACACCTCAAAACATTGTGCATAATATTAAAAATTATCAGGGTAAGAAAACGTTATAGTTACAACGTTTAAAACGAAAAATAGAAAATATGTGACTTCAATAAGCGAAAAATATTTTTATATATAATACAACTTATAATGTAAAAAAATTAATTCTTTTCAATTGTTTTATTTAAATAATTTTATGTAAAGAAAAAGTAATCATTTGCCCATATAAAAAATTTCTTATGTTTCGACCTTTTTAACATTAAACAAAATAATTGAACAACGTATTTATATTAAACAAGTTAAACATAAAAATTATTTAACATTTAAATGTTGAATAACATTAAATTTAATTGTAGGATAACTCTATAATTTAATCATTAAACGCAAAAAAAATTAACGTTTAATTAGCCCTGTTTACTACTAAACTTGTTCTACACTCAATTTATTTTAACTGCATATTAGTTCGCTCAAGGTATTAATTTTTAAGGCTTTAATTCTTTTTAAACAACTGAATAATTTTATTATTTTACTTATTAACACAAAATTATTTTTCTTAATTTAAAGTTAGAATTATCAATAATCCGGAAATTCCGCATGTTCAATATGATTATTCATTAAGTCTATAAAATATAATACATAATAAAATTATGTATCAAATTTCTAATTACAACGACAATTAAAATTCTTTTTATTAAAATCCATCATATTATTAAAAATTATTCAAATTATTTAATTAATATATTAATTAAATAATTATGTTTTTATACTATAATAAATAATATAAATGTATAATTATTCATATATCCATAATAAATTATATTAAAGAAACTTCTTTTTCTTTCAAACTACATCCATAAATATAATAAACAATGTATTCACAACATATCGGTGTCTCTACTTTTGTTAGTTTGATTTTTGAACAACTCATCACACTCCAATTTCAATGCTTGAAAAATACACAATTTACATTTAAATGAAAATAAAATGATTCAAAACCATTGGAATAGTATGATAATTATAAATTTTACTTATCTTTTGGATTAAGAATATTTAATTTTTTGTATTTTTATATAGTTAACCAACCTTACCAGTACTAAAATAATTTTAACCGTATACAATTTCGATGAAAAAGCTATTATTTTAAACCAAATAAAACTTATCAAGGGACGTCCATTGTTCGTGTTTACATTTTTTATAAACGTGCAAAATATTTTATTATTTCTATGATACAAGAAAAATGGAATATTTTTAAACTCGTAAAGTAGGCGTCACTATGGTTATTCATCATAAATTAATTGTTTATAATTTTAAATTAGTAAGTCATCGCGCGATCATACATTCATTGTATACTTGTAGTCCAACCGATTCAAATTTGTTTATTTTTCATTAGACATTTGACACGTCTGCAAAAAATTATGCGTATGACGACAACAAAAATATTATCGAGGAGATGTGACAAAAGGTATTACATTAATTATTGTTGTTGGACGTTTGTTGCCAAAAACAAATTTCAAGCACGTCCGCGAGATGTGTTTGTTAATCATATTGGTAACGACGACGTTTGAACTTGACTGAATCTAAGGCTGGAATCCGGACGTTCAATAGATAAAACTAATATTATTTCCTAAACCAAGACAATTTCCTTATAGCACTAATGTATCCTTCCTTGATACAAACATGCCAGTATGAAATTTCAATTAACACCTCATTATATTGTTATTGTTAGAAAAAATTGACACTTCATGCGCAACCAAACTATAGAAAATTCATGTGAACACTGATTATTAAAATTTCATGTTACTAATGTTTGTGAAATCAGGATGTTTACTATTGATAGAAATTATTACGATCAATTAGTATAATCTGCCGAGAAGACATTCACATTGAATAAAACAATAATGACGGAACATTAAATGGACGACGACAACATTCTTCATGAACAATGTTATTGATCTAAAATAAAAATTCTAATAAACAATGTCCGTATAAAATAGAAATCAGCACTAACATTAAGCAAATTACTAACCGAAAAACTAGTGTGAAACTCTTTGATATTATTCATTAAAGACATTATATAAAGATTATGAGAATTGTATAAGGATATAACATAATGCACACACATCAAACATCATCTTTTGTTATTAATGAATGCAATTCAACTAAATTGACAGAATAAAATTGCCATCAACACTGTTGTACTCCACGTGCCTTCGTTAGAATACAATGTATTCACACATTTTATTGCATTATGTAGTTTACGTCACAAAAAAATATCTGTATTCACATTTTTCATTTGATCAAAATTCAGTACATGGTTAACATTGGGATGTTTGCCCAGCATGAACAAATAAAACAATACTTGTTCAATAAATCATGGTAATAGCTATACTAAAGTATGTACAGTAAATATATAATTAATAAGGGTCGTCTGTAATTAAAAACAGATTNGTCGTCTGTAATTAAAAACGGATCCAAGCTATTATTTAATTGGCCCACTTTTTATATTGGCTTTAAAACCAACCAAATAATTATTCAATTCAATAGGCAATCTTTTTTCATCTAACCTTACAACCTACCCTAATGCTCATTAAAACTATATTCTTATAGCTACTTATTATGTCATCATTTCTTATAAAAATTTATCAAAAACGTTGCAAAAAGGAAATTATGTTTAATAAAGTTAAAGTTTAACTCAAAAATCGAATACACATTCGTTAAGTAAAATTGATGATAATAGATCGGTGATAATTGAAAAATAACCTTACTGATGATATAAAGTGAATCGTATTAACATTGACATTGGAACATGAATAGTCATTTTCAGTATATGGCAAGATAAAGGTTAACCAGTTCGTCAAGGGTAAGTCAGAACTTAAACAATAGGTGACAAAAAAAGTTGTAACGGCTCTATTTAAATAACATATATAATAGTATATAAAATCATTTGAACTAACGTTATAAATTAATGAAAACCAAAAAAAAACGGTTGTCATTGAAATTATTTTTTTTTTACTTTAATAACAATTATTGTGAATTATTATTAGTTTTCATGATGTTTATATGTGTATTTTTTTCATAAATTCTTTTATTATAAAAAGGAAAACACAAATAGACTTGAAAATTACAATACGTATGTTTATTAAATGATCATATTGATGTGCATCAACCTCAATACAAGTTTAAGCTCACATGAAGAATACAAAAAAAACATTACGTTATAATTAATAATATACTAACAAATTTAATAATTTGAAAATAATATTCCAACAATATTTTTACTATACATAAAATATAAATATTCATTGACAATTAACTCATACAACTTTTTCTCAGTGTAATAAACAAAGCTCAGAAAATAAAACATTAGCATATTATTAATATTAATGCATATGAAAATTCAAGTTTAACGAAAATTCCATTCATAGTATCAAAAATTTAGCATATCCATAAATTTACAGGATTAAGGTTTGAAATATTGTGGTTAAAAATTAAAATTTGGTAAACATTTGATTTATTCAATTTAACGAAAGTCGCTAAAAGCCAATTGGTTTAATTGCAATCAAATGCCGAATTTAAAATTATTTACAATAATTCTGTGTTGTTTTATCGAAATGTTAACATCGACCTATGATATCTGAATATATCTGCATTGGGTATCTCAATAGAGACAAACAAAACCTTGAAAGCGTACATGCTTAAAAAATAAAAGTTAAAGTACGTATTTTTTTTTTCATTTTTTGTGAACTCAAAACATTGATGTGTTGACGTTCTTAAAAATATTTGGATTCGTATATTGTAATAAACACCAGATATATTAGTTTCAGTAAAATGTTTATAATGTTAATTAAAATAAATATTACGTTAGCAAAATAATAAATTAAACGCCTTAATTTACTTAACATTAACTAACTTAGTNTAAAATAATAAATTAAACGTCTTAATTTACTTAACATTAACTAACTTAGTTAATTTTGATTTTTAGTTCATATTTTTACAAAATAAACATTAAATCATATGTTTCTTAAATGTTGTTAATATAATTCAACTAAGAACACTATATATATTAACAATTCCGAATTTGATATGCGCAGTTTACTATAAGTAATGGTTACATTTGCATATATGTACAATAGTATTCTGTAGTACATAATAATCCGACCCTCAGTAACAAGAAATTAACAATAACGTGTTATTTAAAAGGAAACAAAAAGTAGAACATGGTAAATACGCTCACTTATTAAACGTATACGTAACTCTTAATTTTTAATTATTTTTTAGTGTTTAAATTTAACCTCTATTAAAAAATAATTTAAATTATTGTATTATTAGGTATAATGAACAATTTTAGTAGTTTTATTTAAATAGTTCATTATTCAAGATTAACTAAATTATTTTATATCTCGAAAAAAACAGTGTGGCCAACTACTAATTTACTAAAAAAACAACGATCTACAATAAAAAAAAATTATTTCCACGACACTAAAGTTTTAGCTTTCATAAATCTTATAGTCACAAATATAGAAATACTTTCCACGTGCTTTCATTTAATTCTTCAATAACATCAGTTTCATATAAAATGATCTTGTATAAATAAACAATTTTTTTTAATTAAAAATATGTTTGGAGAAAAAGTTTATTGATCTTATACCGATATTAAAAGTAGTAATAAGATAGTTACTGGAAATTCATCTGTCGTTAAATGTGTTATTCGCTTAAAAAACATTTAATAATATTTAAACTTCATATACTTACATTTATTCCTAACAAAAATATTGATATTCCAAAAATGTTACAATAACTAACGCTTATTACGAGCAAATTTAGTATTTAAAATTATGAATTTTTCACAAAGTGATGTATGTTAAAAAATATATCAGAAATAAGTACTATGAGTTCTAACTCACAGGAGAACATATCACAAAGAATTAATTTAAATATCGTAAACGTTCTATGAAAAATGTGTTTTAATTTTACATAATAATGAGTAAGGGGACAAATGTTATCATGTACTATTTACATATGATTATCAATGATCTATACTATAAAAAATATAACAAAATTACATCATAAGAATATGTATTGGGAATATAACAACAAGTGTTTCTTCCAACTTCATCACAAAATACTGGTTATACTATACTTTAATGCATTAATTTTCTCCAGCAATGAGGTCAAATCATGTTTATACTCAACGTGTTCAAGGTTAACATGAAATATCCGATGCAACTATATGCAGTATAAGTAATCTTTTAAACGGTTGTATTTTACACGGTAAAAAAATAGGTAACCATCGAGTAATAAAATGATTATTATAATAATTTTAATTGAAAAACTAAATCTTCACATCAAAAACTGTGAGTATATTTAAATAAAATTATAAATCTAATGAATCGTGATATTATATATCCAATTAATCTTATGTAATATTTAAAGTAAATTTTTAGTAGTAACTAATAATGTAACCTAGACCTACATTTCAATAGTTGTTTATTTCTGTATCAAAATTAAAGTAACACCACGAAACGAATCGAACTGCGTTTAAAAAATATATTTTTTACAATATTTATGTTGGACTTGCCCAACAATTGCGCCGGTCAAATAATTTTGTTATGAGAGAGTATGAAAAACCTTTATGATAAATATCATTACTATATCAAGATAGTATTAAGGCCTATTAGCTATGCATAAATGTGTTTCTTTCTTATTAAGCCTATTTCAAATATTTAATTTATTTTACGATATTACCTCTTTTAATTTACCTTCGTATAAACAATAACCATGGCTTAGAATTTAATGTGTGCCAAATTTGTAGAATTATTAATTTTTTCATATTAATTATGTTCAATAACTGTTCAATTGAATTATCATGTAAAGTTTCCAAAATATGAATTTTTATAAAGAAACTTGTAAAAAAAAAAGGTATACAAGGGATGGGCATCAATCTCCCTAATACACTCTCATTGGACTGCCGCTGGTGTCCAATGTAAAAAAACAAATTAGATCAGTGGGAATACTCGATTATGGGCATTTTCTTTTAATTGCTATTTAAACTTAAAATTAATCGTCATCCATTAACTCTTGTCGGGTGACAACCGGTAATTAAAAGACTGCTGACCGCGGTTCATAAACACAGACGGGAGTAATGGGATCCAATGCGAACGGAGGTCAAATATAAGAATCTGTAAATCATATTCAGTATGTTATTGTTTGTAACAACGTTAACGACCTTGTTGCAAAATTACAAGAATTCAACTAAGTTGAACACATTTGTATTAAGAACTCGTTTATTATTTTTTCGTTGATTTGCATTGAATAAAACCGACTAATTAATTTTGTCTCGATGTTTTATCTTTGGTCAGTAATTATATTTTTTTTGGTATTAANTCTCGATGTTTTATCTTTGGTCAGTAATTATATTTTTATTGGTATTAGTGATATTTTATGCCGATCATGCGTCCAATGAAAAAACACGAGAAAAAATTGATCGAAAATTCAAGGACACGACGAGTTTTCGCGGTTGTGAGGCAATCATTCGAACCAAGTGGACACCAGATATTATGAAACGGTTGGCTGTGTCTATAATAAACACGAAACGCTTTATTAGAGCATGTGTACCAGTTATGTACACGTTGATTCCACCCAAGTATTGTGGTGTTGGCTATCGTTGGGATACCATTAGAGTGTACGCTAATTTTTGCCGTGTACAGTAATCGACGTGTTATCCGATGAAATTTCACAAGCAAATAATACCAGTAGGAATTTAACGTTCCAGTTATTATACGTTGTCAATTATTAAACGTTTTACATAAATTGGATCAGGGCCACTATCAGGGTGTTTGATGTTATTATTTAACAAATATTAACTTTTACTTGGCTGATGCTGGCTCGTTTATGTACTTCATTCGGAGACACTATGTATCCGTCAACCACCAGCCCTTCCTTGGCAAACATAGTACAATAGTCAGTCGTTGCGTTTTCCATTTTGACTCTAATATTAGTTGGTTAAATTCAACTTTCAATAATTCAAAAAAAACGAATCGAATACTAGATAAAAATCATCAACGCGTTAGACCCCAATAATTTTTTTGCTCTATAGCGGTATCGGAAACGGTAAAATTGTCTAATCGATTTTGTAAAAAACGAAAAACAACGGCAGCGCCGACCACTCACCGAAGAGCACCGGTTTCGACTGTTGTAGACCGCCGCGTGCCCTACCGCATGTTTAGTATGATCGTAGTCCTGCTTAAAGAATATTAAGGAGAACCAGTAGACACTGACGGGGAGACCTGTTTTCTTGCTCCCGCCAACCAATTCGTACAGGCACAACAAGACGGCAAAAAAATGTATCACAACGATTAAATTGTACTCGGCAAATTTTCGATGAACATTAAGCGTCATTGCGTTCTGTTAATTATTTTTTCAACAATACTATTCTTTCAATGTTAAACGATGAACACGTGGAGATAAGAATTAATTTTACAGGACGCCTATTTAAAATTTAACGTATTAACCACAGAATATAAATAAGTCATAATGTTATCTAAATATTTCAACTTGAAATAATTTAAAAACTTCTAATCATTTTAAAAGTATTACACATTAATTAAATTTATTTATATCCTATTAAATTTCATTTGTGTACATGCAAACACTTATTCAAATAAAATAATTTAAATTTTAGTACTCACTATTATTTTTTTAACGATTCCATATAAGCAATGTATTTGTTTTGATTTTATACAGTTTTAATACAATCAATTCAATTTGAAACGGATTATACCTAAAAAATAAACAAATATATATTTTAATATTTGTTAACATTTTCAATAGCCAAATCGCTATCAACTATAGTTGATACAAAAACTGCCTATAAACAGTTACCAGTGTCTTGCTAACTGTCATTGCTGCTTAGGGCAATCATATATTTGGGACGATCAGAACACTTGCCCTGACAACTACTGATATCAAAATCCTACTAGAATTAGTTTTATTACAAAATAAAACATAGTAGTGCATTTTAAAAATGTGTATACTTACGCCACCAATTAAAACGTTCTTTCTTGTTATTTAAATTTAACAAANAAAAAAAAAAGTAGAGTATTACTTGGCAATTTCATTTAAAATTAATTAGTTCTTGTGATTATATTTTTTAAATTTGTATATTTAAAAAAACCTGCTATTTAAACAGAAGTAATACATTTGAAATACAATTTCAAACATTATAAAGGTAAACGTCGAAATATTGTATTAAATTTATATGGATTATATATATAGATCAATTGGTTTACTAATTTCCCCGTGTTCATTTTTCACTCAACTCGCATATGCACATATACTCGAGATACGCGATTAGACAAGGCATGTTATTTTAATCGACAAATTTCGTAGAAAAATAGTCATAATAATAAAACCATATATTCACCGAAATAACAAACTGTTTGTACCGGTAATTTTTAGTATGTGTTCGTTTTTCGTGGTCGTTGGAGCTTAAATATCGGGGACCAAAATAAAATGAGTGGCCGATTACGTGATAAATATCGAAAATTTAAAAGTGGTGCTGAAAAGCGAAAACTTAAAAATGTTCAAAAAGAGCAGGATAAACTTTTAAAAAACTCTTTATGTAAATTTTTAATAAATNCAGGATAAACTTTTAAAAAACTCTTTATGTAAATTTTTAAAAAAAGATCAAAATGATTGTGTTGCCGAAAGTAGTAGTCAAGTTAACATTGAAAATAACGAACAAAAATTATTGTTAGACAATATTACTATTGAAACAAAAGAATTACAATCCAGTAGCAAGACTGAACAGAATGAAGTAAATGAAAATCTTCAACAACTATCAAAAGATTTACTACTCCAAGAAGATACAGAGAACAAAAAAGTACAGGACGATGAAATTGATTATGACGATCCAGGTAAATGGCAAAATATTACAGATAAATTACGAGTTTATTTAATAGAGAACTCGCCTTCAAAAATTATAAATTATAATTTTCCATTAAACGACGAAGGTAGAAAATTCAGCATAACACATTATAATCGAATAATGGGCAACAGTGAAAAAGTGGTAAGAAATTGGCTTTTATATTCTAAATCTTTAAATCGAGTTTTTTGTCTTTATTGTCGTTTATTTTCTTCAAACTCAACTTCATCATTGGCGTCATAAGGATTTTTTAATTGGAAAANTTCATCATTGGCGTCAGAAGGATTTTTTAATTGGAAACAGATAAGTGAACGTTTAAAAGAGCACGAATTATCTATTTCACATAATATAGCTCAAGAAAAATGGCTACAACTACGTATGAGACTTAATCTCCATACAACTATAGATAATGATATTCAAAGAAACGTAAATATTGAAAAAGAACGTTGGCGTAATATTCTTAAACGAATTATTGCATGTATAGAATTTTTAGCAGAGCATAATGACGCTTTTCGTGGTACAAGTTCTAAGTTATATACAGCTAATAATGGTAAATTTTTAGGCTTACTTTGATTGCAAAATTTGATTTAATTATGGCTGATCATTTAAAACGTGTATATAATAATGACATCCATGATCATTATTTAGGTCCTAGGATACAAAATGAACTTATTAATATTATTGCCACAAAAATACGTGATGAAATAATAAATCGAGTAAGACAAAGTAAATATTTCACAATTTTATTAGACGGAACTCCTGATAAAGGTCACAAGGAGCAGCTTACATTTTTATTGCGCGTTATAGAAATTTCGAAAATTTTCAAATATGAAATAAATGAATATTTTATATGTTTCATTCATACTACAAGTAAGACTGGCTTGAATTTAACAGAGGAAATAAAAGCACAATTGAAACTAATGAATATAGATTTAAATAATTGTCGTGGCCAAGCGTATGACAACGGGGCGAATATGATAGGTCATCATCAAGGAGTGCAGTCAAGAATCCTTTCTGAAAACCCAAGAGCTTTTTTTGTCCGTGCACTGCTCACAGCCTTAATTTACTTCTCGGAGATATGACATCATCCGTACCAGCTGCTATGACATTTTTTGGGGTAATTCAAAGAATTTATTCTATTTTTGCTGTCTCTACTGAAAGATGGACTATTCTTCTCAAATACGTTTCAGATTTTACACTAAAACTAATGTCAGATACTAGATGGGAATCTCGGGTCGAATCGGTTAAGCCTATCCGTTTTCAATTATGCCAAGTACATGACGCTTTAATAGAAATTAGTGAATCAACGAAGGATCCTAAAATAAAAAGTGAAAGCTCGTCATTAGCAAACTATGAATTTTGTTATGACTTTATTTTAAGTGTTGTTATTTGGTACGAACTGTTATCTGCTATAAATAAAGTTAGTAAGAGTCTTCAGAGCAAAAATATGGAATCGAGTAATGCTGTACAGTTGTTAAGTGGTCTTAAAGATTTTTTTTATAATTTTAGAAATGAAGGGTTTGAGTCGTCAAAAAAAAATGCGCAAAATTTATGTGAAGGCTTTGATATTCAAGCAGTTTTTAAACAATCTAGAATTAAAAAAAAAGTTAGGCAGTTCAATTATGAAAGCAAAGATGCACGTCTAAATTCAGCTGAGCAAACATTTTACGATGATTATTTTTTAGCCGTAATAGATCAAGCAATCGTATCAATTAATAAACGTTTTGAACAACTATCTCATCATTCAGAATATTTTGGATTTTTATATAATATTGAAAATTTAAAAACGTTTGACGAAGAAACGTTAAGAAAACATTGTATGGATTTAGAAATTTTATTAAATTTTAAAGATTTTAATTTAAAGATGGTGAAAATAATGATATAAATAGTATTGAACTTTTTGACGAATCAAAAATTTTTTGTAGAATTTTGAACAAACAAATGACTTCTATAGAATGTCTTAATTTAATAGAAACAACATGTGGCTCATTTCCAAACATTTCTATTGCATTGAGAATATTATTGACCCTTCCGATAACCACAGCTAGCGCAGAGAGAAGTTTCTCCAAGTTAAAAATCATAAAAAATTATTTAAGGACATCTATGACACAAAATCGTCTTTCTGATCTAGCAATTATTTCAATAGAACGTGATCTGTGTGAAAAATTAGATTATGATGATATTATTGAAAAGTTTGCCGAAATAAAAGCCAGAAAAATTGATTTTATGTAATTTAAATTGTTTTAACGAAGGTCATTTTAAATAAGACATTGTTTTTTTTAATTTTAATATTATTAAATTAAATCAAATTTTTGACTAATATTAAAAAGCCACTGTGGGTACTCATGAATTTTATTACAAAGGAGTCATAAATAATTTTGCAATTTAAAATTCACAATAAATAGTTGTTTAATTTTTTTCTTTATAAGTTTTTAAAATTTGTATAAAAACATTTTTGTTGTATTTTTATTTATAATAATGATAAAAATGAAGTGTTGTTATCTATGTTTTGTTGATATAAAATTATTTGGCCCTAAGTACTAGCCTGGTACTCCGGCTATTGATGAGCAAAAAAAAAAATGGTCATTTTTGCCCCGGGCCTCGCAAATTGTAAGGACGGCCCTGCTATAAACAGTTACCAGTGTCTTGCTAACTGTCATTGGTGCCCTAGGGCAATCATATATTTGGGACGACCAGAAGACTTACCCTGATAACTACTAGAATTAGTTTTATTACAAAATAAAACATAGTAGTGCATTTCAAAAATGTGTATACTTACGCCACCAATTAAAACGTTCTTTCTTGTTTTTTAAATTTAACAAAAATTTTAATTTTAACAAAAACAAATAAATTTACCAATAATACTCATAAAATGAAATTTGTCATTTTTTAAGAGTGAACGATGTCAATCACTCTTTAAATTACTAACATTGAGTTGCTCCTAAATTAGTAATTAATCTATTCTTGAAATTTATATAACCTAACAAGACTTGAAACCGAATAAAATTTATTCAAAAATTAGTTTAATTAATTCATGGTGCTTGTAAATGAAATAAATAAAAGGACGCTTTTTTCCTCGGAATAACATTTTTTAGAAAAATTCTATTATATTATTTTATTAGAAATTTTCATATTGATTTGATATAAAAGGTAAAGGTTTTATACGCAAGGTTATATACTCTTAAAAAGGAAATAATTCTTACCTGTGTGAGAGAAAATAAAGATATATCTAGATATTCAGTATAGTATTTGTAAGTAGGTTTCGAATCAATTTTTTTTTTTTTGTAGACAAAAGTTACAAAAAAAAAGATTAATATCCAATTGAACACTTGTGGATAAAATTTAATGCTTCATTTTTATGAATGGAGTATCAAATATATGCAAATATCAGCTTTGTATTAAAATATTGTTAAATTATTCTCTGTTTCTTTTCATCTCCAATTCTTCCCAATTTCATTTACGATTTATTTTTTCAAAATTAAAAATTTGTCTCTAAGACTCCATCAGCAAATATGCTTGGCAACTTTGTGTTGGGTTGGGCAATGTAGTTGAATATAATATATGGATTATATAACGCTTTTAAAAATATATAATTTTTATAAATATCAACCAGTACTAGATTCTTGCAAGAATATTAGTGGTTCTAAAATATATGCTATATTGTTAATATATCCCTAAGGTCTTTTTCCCGTGTAAGATTTACTTCAATTTTGCTAGTCTATCATAATTAATTTTTTTTCCTCTCCTGTATTCCACCAATTACCAGTATTTAGAATATGTTATGTCTCCTGCTTTGGCCGTAACATACATATTATAAAAATATAAATTGATCACTTGGGGCTAATTATTTAAAATTATAATTATATTTAAAACAAGAATCCACAAAAAAATAATAAAAAATTGTAGATACGTATTTGGGGAACAATGTTAAAATTATCAACGCTAATAACCTACTGCAATCCCCACTGAGAAAACCCATAGAAACCTTATCATATAGTGACTTTATCATTAAATAATATTATCACTTTTTCCCAGTTTACACAAGTTTAATAAAGAATTTTTCAGTTGGCACCATTCCAATTGATTAAATTGTTCTTATTTTTATATATTTTTATTAAGTCCCTTACATTAAGTTCTTTGTAATTATTTACGTTTTTAATTAGTTTTATCGTTGTAATGGAGTGATAATGTGTCAAAGTTTAGTCTCAGGAGATTTACGAATTTGAATTATCCAAAATACGTATCCGCGATTTTTTGTAATTTTTCTAGTTTTAAATTATTGTTTTTAATATAATTTTTATATTAATTGATTCATGTTAGATTTAATTAACAATAATATATTTTTTTCGTGAATGCATTAACAAGTAATATATCAGACATTCTGAATTATAAATTTCTCTTATTTAACTTGAGAATATAAAATTTAGGTAGAAGTTTTCATCTGACATTAATTTATCCACATGCGCTTGGTGGTGGCGCAGTCGTATTTTTTTATTTACTACCCATCCGCGGAGGTCCGTTACGATTTGCTTTAAGATCATATAGATACTCACTCATTTCTTTAACAAAATTTTTGAAAGGAACACAGCTGATTCAAAGTATTTTGTCGCCTTGTATATTTATTTTTAGCTCAACAACTTGTATTTCAAATAAATCACCTAATAATGATAAATACTGCCAAGGGTAATTGCCTGGCATTAAATTGAATGAGCCTGATTTCAAAAATGTTTTGCATTCATGAAAAGTCAGTATTTTGAACTTGTGACCAATTGCCTTTAATATAACTTAATTAATTAAAAAAAGTAACATATCTTAAAACAATTATACTTGTTATTTATAATGATTCACTTAATTTAGTTTCAATCGTAGACATATTAATACATTTTTTAAAAAATCTACCGTTTTAGTACACATAGATAAAATTAAAATTACGCTAATGCATTAAATGTGTATATTATACGTTGAATGCATAAAATCTAAATTTAATTACTTAATAATATAAAATTTATACTTTTGTATTTCTGTATCATTTTGTTCGGATTCTTGACTAGTGTACAAAATGTATTATTTTTAACTGAATATTACGAAAAATACTTAATATAAATGTAGCCAAAATTGAAATATGATATATTAAAGAGGTCAACACTGTTATTTCATTTTTATAAACATAATACGTCAGAATATAAAAAAATCTTTCCAACTTGGAATAAATAATAAGTACACTTGTTGAGATGTAGACGATCGTTCACCTTGATGTTATTTCATAATGCTATATCGACACATTGTTGTTATTTTAACTCACGTCTGTACGTTTTTCTGTTAAAAATAAATGTATTGACTTATCAACAATAATTTTAATAAAAAATACCATGCATTTTCTATGCATGATATCCATTTATGAAGCTAAGTAAATACCGGTTTTCAACCACAATCCATTCGCAAAACTAGAATTATCTTGACATAAAGGGGACAAAAGTAGGATATTATCATTAAATAAAATAAATTAAGTTACAAATTTTTATATTTTTAGTGATAAAAGTGCTCTATCTGTTTACTCAATGAAGCATTACGCGTTTTTATATTTTATTGGAGGATCAGGTCATCTTGTATTAATGCAGCTGCCGCCAAGAAAAACTTTGGCAAGCTAACTAACCTTGCCTTATTTAAAAATAAATAAAAAATCGTTTTACATAATTTTATCCCAATTTTTCTAAAAGTTTAGATTTATGAAAATCATCAAAAATTTTATCAAACATGTTTTTATAGTAATTAGTGCTCGACTTGGGAAAAAAGTAACATTCCTAGCATTTTAAGATCAACCACGTTACCGTAAGGGGCTTCGACTCCCATACTCTCTTTTCAGATCCCCTAAAAAAACATTAATTTTATAACAAATTAATTAACTTTATAAGACTTATTAACAGAAATATATAAGTTAATCAATATTATAAGAATAGGTAGGCTTAAGTAACAATCTACCTCGGTTGTTTTTCCTTTAAAAAAGAAGTATGAGTACGCTTAAATACCCAAAAAATTATTTGAGGAACTCAATCCCTCCCAAATTATGCACATCAATAATTAGTAATTAGTATATTATTTTATAAGAATAAAGCAGATGATGTGCCAGTAGAAGTATGGAAAATATTAGGCGATGTTGACATCTCTTGAAGAAAAGGGTTTAAGAATAAGTAGGATTAAGACAGAGTATATAGAGTACGAGTTTGATAAAGGAGAACACGAGATAGGTGAAATAAGGAGGCCAGTGACAATAGGCGAGGACGTGATTGGATAGGTGGAAAGTTTCAAATATTTAGGATCAGTTGTGCAAAAGAGCGGTGGTATTGACAAGGATGTAAGATATAGAATTAAGTGCGGATGGTTGAAGTGAGAAGCGTCTGGTGTGTTATGCGATAAAAGAATTCCAATGAGGCTGATAGGTAAATTCTACAAGACTGTAGTGAGACCAGCTATGACGTATGATTCAGAGTGTTGGGCGGTTGATAAGAAAGTAGAGCAGAGAATGAGTGTAACAGAGATGAGAATGCTTAGATGGATGAGTGGAGTGACTAGATAATATAGGATAAGAAATGAGCATATAAGATGAAGTATAGTTGTACCGTAAATCGTGGATAAGATGAGAGAAAATAGACCTAGATATTTGTTTATGTTTATGGGTTATATTATGAGGAGAGAAGAATTGAAAGCCGTAAGAACAGTTGTAGAAATGAATGTTGAAGGAAGAAGAAGTAAAAGAAGACCAAAAAAGAGATGGAGAGATGTTATTGAATGCGATATGAGAACAGCTGATGTGAGCGTAGAAGATGTGGAAAATCTTGTCAAGTGGAAGTTTAATATAAGGGTGGCCGACCCCAAGTAGCTGGGATTAAGGCGAGGAAGAAGAAGAAGAGTATTTTATAAAATTTCTAAAAAAAAAATCATAAAATTAAAAAATTGATTAAAAAAAAAAAATCCGTCTATCTTACAAGTATTAGTAATTTTTCTACTAGTTAAACATGAATGCAGAAACTTCTAAATCTTGGTAGGCATCTATATTATTATTAGTTATGCAGGATGGTTAATTAACTATGCCTTACATAATATTTTTAAAAGTATAAAACGTTATAACTTTTTTTTTTCAACAGTTAAAACTATAACAGTATTACTGATATAACAGTATTCTATGTTCTAGAATTACCAAAAAAAAATTGATATTGTCCCCCCTTACATAGTATACACTTAAAATGTTTAATCATATTATTATAAACTAGCTTAAAAATTAGGAAAATATCTAACAAAATAAACAAAGTCTTATGAGCCACTTATCAGATCTTTTTAAAAATCATACATTATAGAATTTTCAAAAAATGCGAATCTCAAATGAGTAATTCAAAATTTGGTTATAGAAATTTAGTTTGTACAAGAGAGGCCATCTTTAACTTACAATTGTTAATTCAAAGGGCTAGGGATGTCAATCATGATGTATATGCTTGTTTCATTGATTATTAAAAGACTTTCGATAGAGTTGAGCAAGATAAACTTATAAAAATACTAGAAGTGATCGGAATTGACAATCAAAACCCGAGTTTAGTAAACAATTTATACTGGAATCAAACTTCTGTTATACGAGTAGAAGCAGAAATGTCAAACGATATCCCAATAAAAAGAAGAGTGAGACAGGGATGCGTCCTATTACCATTTCTATTTAACTTATATTCGGAATTCATACTTCGAAAAGCTTTAGATGAAGTTAACGAGGGCATAAAAGTAAAAGGTGAATGCATTAAAAACATCAGATACGTTGATGATAGTTGTATACGCGAATAACATTTCAAACCTCCAAAAATTTTTAGATAGAATTATGAATATAAAAGAAAGTTATGGGTTGTCTCTAAATATAAACAAATCCAAATATATGGTAATTTCGAAAAATCAAATTGTAAGAGAAAAGCTTTTAATTAGGCGACAGCAAGTAGAAAAGGTTCAAAAATATACATATCTTGTTACATGGGTAAATGAGAACTGGGAACATGGGATGGAAGTTAAATGTCGGATTGAGATGGCCAGAGGAGCATTCGTAAAAATGTCTAAAATATTTAAATTTCTTGGACACTAAGATTAGTATATTAAATTGTTACAACTTTCTTATTTTATTATATGGTGCCGAAACATGGGCATTAATAGAAACATTGAGGCATTAGAAAAATAGCTGTACCGCCGTATACTAAATATCTCATGAACAGATGGAGTATTCAACGTGTGCGTACTAAAAAGAAAAGGAATTACTAAAGACTATAAAAACACAGAAATTAGAATACCTGGGTCACATAATGAGAAATAACCAAAGATATGGATTGCTGCAACTTATACTTCAAGGAAAATTAGAAGGTACGAGAAGTGATTGCTAACGAAGAATATCTTGGCTAAAAAATCTCCGGGACTGGTTTAATACAACAACAATTGAACCATTTCGTTCATAGTTAGATAGAGAAACAATATTCAATATGGTTTCCAACATCCGAAACTTCAAGAAGAAGCTTAAAAATTAGGAAAAGATCTAACAAAATCCGATCATGAACAACTTTTGAATTATTTTTTGTTGGAAGTTATTAAAACTTTATTATATTGACTGGCAATGAAGAGCGAGTCTATTTATTCTTATATTAAGGCAATTATGACCCGCACTTCTTTTCCCACCACAGTATAAAAGTGGTAATATCTTTAAAATACTGAATAAAAGTTTTTATCGATTAGTTATTTTCTAGTTAGTAAATTGGTTAAACATGTTTTCTATTATAAAACTTAAGTTAGTAAAATTTTAAGAGGGATAGCTGGGGGATAAGACAACTTTTTTTTAGAAATTACAAAACATGGGATATTATAAATATTAATTAATTATTATTTGGTTGTTATAATAAATAAATACTAAAATATTAGTTCAACTATTTGAATTAAAATAATTATATTAAAATCATAAAAACGTGGAATGACATGTTACTGCACCCTGCATTAGGCGGGCACTCACTTGTGTCTTTCTCGATATAAGCTGTCCACATATTAATACGACAATCAGTGGTTATTGTGCATTTTACCACCCTTGACACTGTGACAATGCTACCGTCAACTGTCAATTGTTAATTATGCATTCTGTTTGTTCCATCGGTCAACCCGTATGTTGTTTTTTTGCTAACTTAACAACATGCTCTATGTGACTACGCCGTTCTAGCAGATTTTTTGTTATTGTCTAGTTATTTTAACATTTCAGTGATAAATATATATATATACATAAATCAATTTTTGGTGACATTTATTTCATTAAACAGGTTTGCACTCGGTTTGTTATAAAATACCTATGTCGACTACATTATTTGTAATTCCTTATTTTGTTTTAAGTGTTTGTGCTTTACAACTACTGTATTATTTAGATAAACGTTAGACCTAACTCCAACACATTTATAATGAAAACTCAATTTTAAACTTCTAAAGAAACATTTAATTATTTAAATCAGGTTTCAGTAAAATGACAATTAAGTAATTGAAATCTAATAACACTTAATAAATGGGCAATCATTCTTAAGAATTAATACAATAAGAAAAATAACAATTCTTTTATTGTTTACATCATATGTCAAATTATAAAATACTTCTGAAAATGAAATTCAGATAATGAATACAATGAATTATTCACAGAAATATATTTATAGCTACCGTCTAAATCCACGGCCACCTCCTCTTCCACCTCCACGACCACCTCCCCCAAATCCTCTGCCACCACCTCCTCGTCCAAAACCACTGCCACCACGTCCACTGCCTCCACGACCACCACCACGGCCAAATCCACCACCCCCTCGACCACCACCACCTCGACCACGACCTCTACCACCACCTACACCACCTCTGCCACCTTTCTGACCACCAGGTTGTGGTAAAAATTTCTTCAGTGGTAATAATTTTGCAGGATCAATATACAACTGTAGAAATATAAACATGTGATTAAATAAAGTTAATATTTCTAAATATTAAGTAATGTACCTTATCAGCAGCTTTAAAGGACTTAGCTTTTATTTCTGAATTTAGTTTAATAGAAACAAAATAATCACTATAAGTACCAAAAATTTCATCAATTTTGCCAATTTGTTGTTTGTTTGCAAAATAGATAGGTGCATTAAAATATGGAACATCTTCCATTTCAGCTTTACATATTATGTCATCCTGACAAGCATGAGTAAAACTTCCAAGAGGTATAACCTAAAAATTAATAAATTTAGATTAAGAAAAATTTTAGATTATTCATATATGAGACTAAGGGTAAAATGGTGAAATACACAGTGACTTTTAAAAATCTGTAGATTTTTATTAAATTTAATAAACATTGCATATTTAATAATATTTTGAGCTTTTGAATGTTTTAAAAGCAATTTGAATTAATTACATTCAAATATCTACTATAATAGTAGGCCTACTTAGGCATCCTACCTAGCTTAGTTAGGTTGGTAACACATTGTGTCTTAGTGCATTGGTACAGGGTATGGTACTATTGCAATAGTTCAGTAGATTTTCTCGTTCTCCCTGACACAAACATTAACTTTTAAAAAGGACAATAAACAACTATTGATATTAAACCAAATTTATACAAAATATTTCATGAAAGAAATCATATCTAATTGAAATGAATGAGTTGCTACAAAAATTTTAATAGTTAAACAAGCTTACATGTGAATTTTATAATAGTGTACACACCTCAACTGGACAAATAAAACATTTTAAAATTTAATACTTACTTCTTCTGGTGGTCCTTGTTCAGCAAATTTATTGAATCCACCTCTTCCTCCTCGGAACCCACCACCACCTCCACGAAAATTACCTCCACCACCACGACCACCATCACCTAAAAATTAAAAAAAAATATTTAAACTTTATTACTTATGATATTGAAAAGATAATTTATTTTAACTAACAATAGTAGTAAAAGTATTTTTCAAGATATTCCTATCAAATATAAGATTTTTTGATATACACATTAACTACTGCCATGTCAAAAATACAAATTTAACTTTATAAAATTCAGAACCTGAAATTTTAAATACTGACTTATAAAATATGTTTATCTCTTCCAAAAAAAATTCTTGACCCAATATACTTCACAATATAAGAAAAAGACTGATTTTATGATTTTTTAAATTATAGTCTTCTTGAAAACTAAGCCAAACAAATTTTTCGTACTCTGTTCTAATTTATTTTAACAGAATAAAAATATAAATACATTTAATCAAATTTTAACAAAAATATATAATTTAAAATGTACATTAAGTACAGACCAAATTACGCATTTAAATGAAATTAATTTAATATTATTATTAAATTATTTTTATAAAAGCAACAACAGCAAATACCTTCAACTATTGTTATCACTATTTACAGCATTATTATAACTACTTACAATATCAATGGATTATCTTTTTTCTTTTACAAAATTTCAGAAAATAATATACAATATTTTTTAATTATTTCAATGTAATATAATATTTCATTCGAATTTTCTTTCGTTCTTAAGGTTTTTGAGTTGATAAAAATGAACTTTTTCAATAATAACATTAAGCAAAATGTGTTTAATATAAATTTAAAAAAATCATAATTATTTTAACTGTATTAACTTACTTCTTCTTTGAAAGCCTCCACTTCCACCACCCCCACGGCCAAAACTATTTCTATTATTATTGTAGGACATTTTAAAGATTAAAATTAAAATTTTTTCATTAATTAAAAAAAAAAACACAATACCGCTAATACATCAAGTTAAATTTCAAACTAGTCACGTGGTTGCAGGGCATTCATAAACACCTATTATCAATAGTAATTTAGTTATCTTTTGGACTTGAAACCTACTACAACCATGGTTAACAGTTATCTTAGTGAAAATAAAATCTGTAAAATGTTAGTTAAAATGTAAACTCCATGACATCCTCCTTTTCATGTTGCTTAATTATTATTGGTTTTTTGACAACAACAGTAACATATTATCACTTATATTCTATACGATTTACCCGCCTAGGATTTCTAATCCCTCCAATTTCGAGAAATAGACGATCTTGGAATATAATTTAGTAAACTTTTTATTTTTTAAGTTCCTAAACAGTCGTTAATGACTTGAATTATAGTTTAATTTTTGGACATATTATTTACATCTGATTTTAGCTCTCACAAAGTTACAAGACAATTTCTACAGGTAGTATCCATTATTACGTTATTGTGGCTAATAATTTTTAATTACTTCACTTCACAGAATCAAATTTACTGTAGAACTAAAATATGGAAAATTTGCCAAAAGATAACCCCAATTTACCAATAGACAAAGATATGATAATAATAAGCTCTGAGCAATCTGATTTCTGTAATGTTACCAGTTCAGAAGGTATGTTATTAAACACTTAACATTTTATTTTAATGTAATTAATAAATTTTCGTTATTTTTAATGTGTAAATAATCCAATATCTAGAAACATGGGATTCTCATACTTCTAGGATAACAATTTCAAAACATAGAAATCAAATGTTAATAAAAAACCCAGTTAAAGAAGTAAATATTTCATCAGTTGAAAAATTAACTTGTTCTGATGATAAGTTCAAATTGGTATGAGCTATATTTCTTCTATTAATTTTTTATTAGTGTTGGCTTTGCAATAGTAGCAGATTATCAATTTCTGCTCAAATCCTGCTTTAACATTTGGGTTTTTAGATAAGGGAGTGGAAAAAATTACTTTCAATTTTTGTACTAAACCATTCTTAGTATAACTGTTAAATTTTTTTTGAGACTTTCATTTTAACTTATTATTTTTAACGTGATATTATATGTTCTTTGTTTGTTACAACCAGTGGTTTTATTTTAAAAATACCCTATTAGAGAATTGCAATTCTCAAATTGAAGATACCTATAACCTTTTTTGGTTTCCATATAGAAAAGGAGTGAGGCTTTTTTTTCATCAAAATTTGTTTACTTGTTATCAAATTATATTTAAAATAATGGGATTGGAGAATTATGTATTTACCCCTTACCCTTTATAATATATGTAGCCACAAAGAAGGTAACAATAATTATTAAATTTTACAAAATCGCACATAATTCAATGTTCTATATCCATTATAACACAAAATGCTAGTTCAACTCTATGATATCATCTAAACATTTATTTATAAGTAATACTGTTATTACCACAGATGATTAACTATTGTAGTTATAACTAATTTTGATTGTTGTTGGTTCTTATTGACCTATTGACTAATATTTAATAATAATAAAAATACAATATTTTATTTTTGAATATATACACACTTATGCAAAATAAATATACATCATGTATTACTTTTACAGGATGTATGTTAATTTACAAAATTGTGTTAGGGTTGGGGATATACTCGCGTATACCCCACAAAACACCACTGGTTATAACTTTTTGTATATTATTCAAGACTATTATAAAAATAACAAATGGTTTTATTTATAAAACCTTAGATTTTATTGTAAAAAGCCAAAATAGTTTCTTAATTTAATAAGTTTTTATTTTTTTAATTATTCTATCTAAACATTTTTTAATTATTTTTTCAAGCCATTGGATTCTAGTGAAAAGGTCGAAGAATTAAAAACATTATCTGATATTGATTATGTATATTGCATAGCTGCTGTTAAACAAAATTCATCAGTTGGGACTAAATTATTAGCAGTATAATATAAACTTTTTAATTATTATGTATTCATTATTTTTCAATATTATACATTGCTATATTTTGTCTTACAGATTTCATTTCTTGAATCATTACTTAAATATGATGTAAAATCTGAAAGTTCATCTACATCTTCACTAAATGGTTATATAGCTGATCACTCTGGATCATCAACAAGCTCAACTGTGTAATTAATATATTGAATTTTATTAATTTTATTAATTGAACTAGTTTTAACTAAGGTGTATGAGATTTTTTATAGTAAAATAAATTTTTTAATGAAAAAATTAAATATAATGTTTTACATGTTAATTAAACTTACATTATAGTCAATGGTATTATTTCTTAATGCTAATTTAATGTTCAATTGTTAATTTAGTAGTTGTGCAACGGGAGAAGAATTATTTTTAGTTCCAAAAGTTCCTCGTGATTCTTTTGTATCTATTTCATCTTCTAGTAGTTGTTCGTCAAATGGAATTGTTTTGCAACAAATAAAAAGTGAGTTATTTTTAAAAAATCTTTATTAATATTACAATTTTATTATTATTAAAAACTTTACACTTCATTAAAAGGTATTTATTCAATCAAGCATTTATAATTCTTATGAATAAATTCACATTACCAATATTATACACTAAGGTAGTTTTTTCTTGTATCTCTTTATATAACATAGATCATTGTTAAATACTAAAAAAAAAAAAAGATGTTAACTCTAAAATGCTGTGACAATTTAATGGTTGAATTAAAATAAATATAATAGTTAATGATATCAAAATTTTTCTTTAAACTTAATCTATAAAACTTTTTATTTTATGCAATAAAACAAAATTTAATAATAATAAGTTTAGAATAACTCCAAAGTCTGTAAATTGATTAAAAAAAAAGAGAAAATAAAAAAATGCAAATAAATCAAACTTCTGATACATTTACTTAAATTTTCAACTTTTTCTTATTCTTAAATTATAAGAGTTGCTAGTTAGATCTGTTTAACTCTGTTTAGCTACAACTCTTAATAAAACTTTCATTATAGATTATACTTCAATTGAATAATTTAATTTAATATTAATTTGCATCAAATATTATATACATTTTATTAAAACTTTTACTTTCTATATTAAAGTTTTTGATTAGATTTAAAAAATATTTGTATACTAAATAAATATTTACACTTATTATTAAATACTACACATAAAAACAACTTTGTTATTAAACAAATAATCATTTATTTATTTTTTTATAGCAAAATACAAAAAAATGCAATTTTTACCAAAAAATAATACATCTCATCCAGTATTGATGTGTCCTCGGTGTAATTTTTATTTTCCTGGAATTAAAGATCCTCCTGATGGTCCAGACTACAAGAATGAAGGCACTAATATTGCAAAGTAAAGTTTTTAGTTTTCAGTAATTTTCATAATAGTAATTGGCTCTTGACCTTTTTTTGGCTTGTAGATGTTTTGATCTACCTTCTAAAGTTATGACGTCAAGTAATTCAAAAAATAAAAAGAAATTAAAGAAAACTAATAAAGTTGAGTTGAAAAAAGAATTGCTTGTATGTTATTTTGTTAATACTTCTTGTGCACTTAAAATAAAATAAAAAAATTTAAAAAAAATTACAGAGCACCAAAGAAAATATTGAAATAATTGATCCTAAAGAAGAACCAAGATCAGAACATCATAAACTTCCTGAAATAAATGAAAAGTTATCAGTTTCTTTTAATATTGGTTGGTAGTATACATATAAAGTGAATAGAATAATTATTATTTTTTAATATTTTAGGTTCAAAAGTATTTGCCTATTGGATTAGTGACAAATTATTTTATCCAGCAACTATAATTGAAATAATATTTCCAAAATATAAAGTAGAGTTTTTATCAGATCATGTAATTAAGTCAATAACTGAAGATGGGCTAGTGCACAGTGATGCTTTAAGACAAGGAATGCCTATTGGGATATTTGATACTGTGTCCCAAGAATACAAAGTTGGCGATATTGTCTCTATTCATGAGTAAGGTTTTACTTAATTTTACTTACAAATAATATATTATTTTGTTATTGTTTTTTGCTTATTTTATTATTAGGATAGGCATTGAAGATAAAAATTATACAGTTGATTTAGATTCCGAAGTAGTTGATGTTTCATTTGAAAAGTTAGTACTAAATATTGAGCAAGCAAAATGTATACAAGAAAAGACTTTGCATAATAATGTTTCAAATTTTAGTCCACGTAAGTAATTATCAGCATACATATTTTTAATTTTTAAAAAAATTCTAATGAAAATAAAAATAATAACATGCAAAGAGAATTAAGAGTTATTATACTCTGTACAGTTTGATTAAGCGATCACTGTACTACACTATGCCCCTAAGGAAGCTATAATTGTAAAAATTAATTTGTGAATTTTTTTCAGGTGAAAACTTTGATGGAAAAAGAATTCGTCTATCTCGATCAACTAATACCAAAAAACAAAGACAACAAATTGAATCAAAAACTGGGGAAGAAACAAATAAACGTAAAAAAAATAAACTACAAACTGATAAGAAGCGTAAGTGTTTATTTCCATTAGAAAAAGATCCTAGAGATATTCCTAGTACTAGTACTGGAATAACCGAAAGTATATATCATCTTTCCCCTCAATATTCATCACAGACAGATTCGGATTTTGAGTAAGTATAATAACAATTAAATAATAATAATAAAATATTTTCATATATTTATATATTTCATTAGCCATATAAGAGAAGAACTAACTACTGTAGATATGTTTCACTTGAAAGACTCTCAAATTGATAGTGATCATTCTTCTGTTGAAAAAAGTCCAATTAAAATTGATTGCAATGAAAGTACAAAAATTGTTAAAGTTTTTTCAAATTTAAGTTTTGTAATTAGTTATTCAAAATACAAACGACGTCCAATGCCTAATGACAGTGATCAGAGTTCAGATAATGAATTTGATTCAAGTATGCATAAAAATAATTTTTGTGTACTCTAGTAATTTAATTTAATAAAAAATTGTTAAATTTGATTTGAATGGAGTTAGTGTAAAAGAAGACAAGTCTTATATAGTTACTTTTCAGATAAAAAATGCATTATCATCCTTAAAAACTTATGCTTTACACCTAATTTCATTTGCTAAATACATGTTAATTAATGGTCATATGAAGGTAATATTGCTACCAATGTTTCTGATATGAAATTTCCTGTAAAATAGACTTATAAACTAAAAATTCCAAAATCGATTTGTCTTCTTATCCATGAACTCCATCTATTTAAGATGGAATTAATAAATTAGAGTAACAGCCTAATAATAATCTTTACACTAGTAATCTTATTAAAGTACACCAGAAAATCTCTAAAATAAAATTATGAAAATGAATAATAATATACTTAGAATTTTTTATTGCGAGTTAATACCATTTTAAAATATTTTAGTGACTTTTTACCTAAAATTTTGGTTAAGTCCGGTCTTAGCAGGGAGAAGACACCCTGGATATGTGACTAATCATTTCTAGGGTCTAGAATTATATGCATTTATAAAATTTGTTAAATTTTACTAAACACACCATCATTTATTACACATTTTTATTGATTGACTTGAAAACTTATTAATGTGTTGTTACCAAAGTTATAGTTTTGAGGATTTAAAATCCCAAAACAAAAAAATATTTATACAGTACTATATTATACTATAACAAAGTTGCACAAACTTGGAACCCTCCAGCGTGGCCTAAACAAAATTTATAAGTGCATATAATTTCAGATACTAATCATGAAAAATATTTTTATTGAAACATAATATTACCCAATCAAACTTGATTTTATTTTTAATTAAAAAATTCTTTGTTATATATACATATATTTGATATGTTTTTATCATTATATAAATTTTCAAATGATAATATTTATTTAACTATATAACTATTATTGTACTGTTAATTTAACAAAATCAAATACTAGCATTTCTTATCAAATCATTAATCTACTATACAAAAATGAAAGTATTATTATACTACTATGAATTAAAGTTTTTTTTTTTTTTAATCCTCATTAGATTTTTAAAATAGGTAATTGAGTTATTCTTCACTTAATCCTAAGTTTTAATTAATACTTACTACATATTAATAATAATTAAATTATTAAAACAATTATTTTAATGTTTTTAAAATTAAAATTAAATTTCATTTTTAGCAGTCATAAATTTTCTTCGTGCTATAAAAGAACTTAATAATTTAAATAAATGTTATGCTATGACTGACTTTATAATATAATTTATAATGATAAATTTATTTTAGGTCCAGATTACTTTGCTCCATCTGTAATACATAAAAAGTCTCTAATAAAACAAATAACAAAGTTTGGTGGAGCAATTTATAGATGTTTAAATCTTGTACCTAAAAACCAATTAAAGTCATGTTTTCTCATCACTGATACACCATCACATACCTGTAATTATTTTTTATCCATAGCTCTTGGTGTTCCTGCTTACCATCATAATTATATTCAGCAAGCAATCGAACAAGTAATTAATGCAATTAAGAATTGAGGTTATAAATATTGTTATTATCCTTTGTATTTCAGAAAAAAATATTTACAGAAGTAATCATAGGCATTCAACCATTACCAAATGGTTGGTCTTTGGAACTAAAAAAAATGATATTTCGATCTTCTGAAACAAATCGTTCTAAAATATTTGCAGGATATATTATATACATTGCTTTAGCAGAAAAACCTAGTAGACTATTTTGGGCTGGATTGCTAAAATTTACTGGAGCCATAGTTTATACATCATGGAAAAATGGTAAACATTTTTAATTAGATAGATAAACATTGACTAAATATTTAATAAATGGATTTATTTATTTTTAGGAGTAAAAAAACCATTAACAAGCCACATTGTTGTTATATTGACAGATTCTCAATGCCCAGCTATACTTCAAAAATGTGATTTCCCAAAACTCTCAATTACTTGGGTTATACAAAGTTTAATTTGTGAGTCAGTCAGACCTATTGATGGACATGAACATTACATTGAAATTTCAGATACAGAATAATAATATGACAAATAAATTCTTACAATTATATTTTATATAGAATTTTTAGTATTATTAAACTTAAAAACCCTTTATAAATTTATTTTTAATGAATTTTGAATTATTGCTACATGTACCTTTTTTATTTATTGTTAATTTCATTTAATTTTAGTGAATTTATTTATGGTAGGCAATAAAGTCTATGTTAATTTTTTAACTAATGTACTATAATTACGTCAATTATTTAATATGGATTGTTGTAAAACAATATAACTACTTTTTTAACTGGAAACAATAATTTCCCATGATTAAAATTTAACAAGTGTAAATTATTTCTCATTTCTAATACTTTTTTTACTTGTTTTTATTCTATTTATGTATTTAATATAAAAATAATTGTATACTATTGTATTTTCGAACTAATTGTATTTACAGGAGTTATGGTGATCAGTTATAAATATTAAACTATAAATTAAAAGTTAAGTTTTATGTTAGTTTATGTTTTCTTGTTACTAGTTTTATATTGTATATATGTTAATAAATTTTATTCATTTCATATTACACACATTTTGGATAGTTTTCTTCTTATAATTATAAACAACGATTAAAATAAATATAAAATGTTTGAATTATCTTTGTTTTAATCGTAGACACAGTGGTTGTATACAACGAGAGGAGATAGATGGATTGAACCCCTTATCCATGTCTTTTTCAAATATGATAAAAGAATAACCGCGTAATAAACTCTATTATTATCACAAAAATGTTCAAACATTTTTAAAAAGACATAAATTCTATTTATAATATTTACATTATTTTAAAGTACTATGAAACACATATTAATTATTAATATTATTATTTACTTTTCCATTCGTGTTTAACGACCTCTTTAGAAGCTATTGCTCACGTCGGAGAGGTCAAGAAAACACATACAGCTCAGACTAGCGCAACGAAATCAAGCCTTAATACCTTCGCACCAAATCACGAAATACTGATCAGTCAGTAATACCTAGTTTGAGTTAGGTATGTTGCCAATCTTATGTGTGTAAATAGTTTAAAATTTTTGCTTATAAATAATAAAATTTTAATTTTGTATTTTTTTTTTT